CGGAGCAAGCGACGCTTGTTAAGCTCGTTCAATGCGTCAGAAAGCTTGCTGGAATGCACAAGCGTCTCAGCCGTTACCATCAACACCTGTGTCTCTGGAGCCTTGCTGCGCAGATCTGCGTATACTCGACGCACCTGTAAGAGCCGCAGGAAGACGCGAGTCGAGGCAGCAAGAAAAAACACAAAGACGGAAAAGTGCCACAAGAAAGGCAAACTTCGCAGGAGGTAGGGGACTAACAGGATACAGCAGCGCTACCCACGTCACCGGTACGCCTGGCAAGCAGCAGCACCAGCAAGCAGCAGCACCAGCAAGCAGCAACACCAGCAAGCAGCAACAACAGCAGTAGCATTAGCATTGCATCCTTCAGAAAACTCCTCGGAAGGCGTATAACAAGCAGCCAACCGAGCATCACAAACAGAGCATATCTCTGACTTCTGCCTTCGGGAGTGACGAGTCAAGCCGTGCGACTTTGAAACCTATGCGCTGCATGTGTTTTTGCTGGTCCTCCATCAACGCCAGCAAAGGCGACACTACCAGGCACACACCCCCTAACAGCAAGGCCGCTAGCTGGTAGCAAAGACTCTTGCCACATCCTGCAGAAGCAGCAGCAGCAGCAGCAGCAGCACAAGCAGAAGCTGTTGGGGCAGCACAGGAAGGAAGGAGAATAGTGCGGCAGCAGCAGCGGGAGCACCCGCGAAGCGTTTCTCTGCGAGAAGCCTTAGAAGTTTCGTCTTCTGAAGGCAGAGTGAAAACGGAGTTTACTCAAGAAACACTGGGAACAGTACTGCAACCAGCAGCCGCATCACGAAGAGTCTACCAGTGGGCATGACAACGAAGGTGTCTTTGCCACTGCATGCAGCGGAGAGGGCGGGTAGCTGTAGACCTCGTAGGCTAGCGTTTTTGAAAATCTGCGCGCAGAGGCATAAACAAAGCGTCGCAACACGGAGGCTCCGGGCGAGGCTTTGGATAAGGTTGGCTGATGCTAGAGGAGGTGAATAGAGGAGGCAGTGAAGCGGGGAGGAAGCATCAGCCCTCAGCGCGAGACAAGAGACAACCGAAGGCGTTGAAAGCTGCTGCACGAAGGGCCAGTCCTCCCTCCAGAGAGAGAGGCGCCTGAGACGCCTCGTTTTAGGAGAAAGAGGCCACGCAGGAGGCACTGAAGCGGGAAGGGAGCAGCAGCAGCATTCAGAAGAGGAGGCAGAAAGGAGAAATACGAAGTGCATGCACATGGAAGCGTGTCGTGAAGCAAGGGGGGCAAACCTGTCGATTGAGGGCGAGAGCTCTCTTAGCGAGAGGCGTCTCTGTAGAAAAAAAGTGATGTAAAGACGCGCTGTGTGTTTTCTTGAGAGACTCAAGGGAGAAGCTGGGAAGTGCCTTGGCTCCTTCACTCGTCCACCACTTGACGAATGAGGCGTATGCAGCTCCACAGAGACTGTTCGAGCAGCGCTCCACACTGCCTTGCGTTGAGGATGCAGAGACAGCTTCCTCGAGCTGCTGCTTTCTACGCCATGCGTTTGCTGCTGGTGCTGCTGTTGCTGCAGGCTGCTGTAGAGACATAGCGTCCACGGCATCTTCATCGGAGCTAAAGATCGTTTCGCAGTAACTGCTGCTGCTGCTGCTAGAGAGGAGGGGCTGGTGCGACGAATTCGCAGTAGACGATGCAGGAAGGCGCTCGCATGCCCATAGCAGCGTCGGATCTTCGTCCTCTTCTTCTTCCTCCTCCTCTAAAGATGTAGCACCTTCACTTTCCTCACCCTTCAAACTGCTGCAGGCGTCTTCTTCGCCTTCTTCCTCCTCTTTGTCAATGGCCTCTTCTTTTGCGCTGCTGCGTGCTGCTGGCGTTGCTGCTGGCGTTGCTGCTGGTGTTGCTGCCGTGCTCTTCCCTGCATTTGAAACTGGTGAAATGCATTGACTACCGAGCATACGCAGCGCTTTTTCTTCCGAACTTTCAGAGCCTGCCGCATCTTTAACCTTCGAGAGAGGGATGCACTGCTGCTCCACGTGCTGCTTCTGCTGCTGTTGATTTTTCTGCTGTTTCTGCAGCAGTAAGGCCATAAAGGCTGCAGTATCAGGCTCAGGCGCGCAACGAAGCAGTGGCAGAAGCGCCTTCACGGCTTGCTGAGCACTTTGCATTGCCCTCTCCAACGCTAAAGAATCTTCCATCTTCTCTGTGCCTCGTGTATGGCATGCTTCCTCAGTTTCTATCGGGCAAAAACAGCCGTCAGAAAGGCGCTGCTGCTTCTCCTTCTCCAGCAGCAGCCGAACCAACCGGCAGAGCCGACCAACAGCATTGTAGGCTGCCTCTTCAAGTGGTCTACTGCTGCAGCTTCTGCTTCTTCTGCTGCTGCTTCTGCTGCTGCTTTGAGAGCTTCGAATGCTCTCCTGAAAAGAAACCTCGCGGGAGGCTTTGACTGCCATGCTTTCGCTAGTGGCCACGTTGGAGAGAGCGCTGCTGGTGGTGGTGGTGGTAAAACGTGTTTCTGTTGTTATTGAAGTGTTGGTGGTGGTGGTTGTGTGGTGGTTGTTGCTGGTGGTGGTGGTGGAGGTCGGGGGGGAGGAGGCATCGCTGTTACTGCTGTCGCTTAAAACTTCAGGACGGCGAAGTCGGAGACGCTTCTTTTGCGCGATCTCCTCTGCAGGATCGTGATACGCCGAAGAACGCTTCTGCTGCTGTGTTTGCTGCTGTATTTGCTGCTTTTGCTGCTCTTCTTCTTCATGCGGACTGACATGCGTTGTGGTGGCTGCTGTAGAAGGCGTCTGCGTCAGCGTCGGTGCTGTCAAGCACGCTGCAGCAGTTGCAGATGCGGAGGCTCCGCAGACCGCTTCTCCACTTCTGCGGTGGCGCTGAGTACAGTCTTCAATGTCATCTTCGCTGCTGCTGCTGCTGCAACAACACACCAACCTGCTGGAAGAGGCGGCAGGAGCATGAGCAGCAACTGCATCAGCGGCAGAAGGCCGTCCCTTTAGCTGGGGGGGAAAAAGTTTACGCGTATGAGCGTCTGCTGCCGTCAGAAGCTGCTGCGGAGGCTGCATCGAAAGCCGCTGAAAACGTGTGATAGACACAGCAGCCAGGCTGCTGCTCTTTCGACCGCTTCCCCCATTTGCTGTCTTTTCTCCGCCCGCTACACTTGCTGGACGGCTGCGATGCAGTTGCTGCAGCACAACCATGGCCAGAAGGTTTGAATTTTCAACATCAGCAACAAAGCTGGTGCTGCATCTTTTCCCGCGTCTCTCGCCTTTGCTGGTGTTGCATTTGCTCGTACTACGCTTCCTCCTCCTGCTGTTGCCGTTGCTGCTGTTTTGTTGCCGTTGCTGCTGTTTTGTTGCCGCTGCTGCTGCTGTTTCTGCTGCTGACGATGATATTGATGACGATGATGATGATGACGATGATAATGATGATGATGATGCTAATAATGATGATGATGATGATGATGATGATCCTGATGATGATCCTGATGATGCTTATGATGATCCAGAACTCGTTGGTATCCTAGCTGAGAGTTCAAGGGGGTGGCGGCTACGGCAGCGATAGCAGCAGCGATGCCAAAGATAGCAGCAGCAGCAGCAGCAGCCGTGATTTATAACCTCTTCAAATGCGCAAAAAGGGGAGGGAGGGCCTCTAGGTGCTTCTGGTGTGACTGCTGCTGCTGACTTCGCGGATGCTGCTGTGTCTGTCGCAGCAGCATGTGCGACAACACGGGCTTTGGCCTTCCCTACCTATCGCCATGTGCAAAACATAGAAACTTTCAAGTTATCGCAGAGTTTTACAGCGGAGGGTCTGAAGAGCCGTGGAAGCAGCTGAGAGGGCCCAAGAACAAACAACAACCCCACCCTTCTTGTAGGGGCCCCATGGCGGCCTCCATGGGGGCCCCGTACGCCTTCGGCGGGCCCCCCCTAAAATCCATGACCCGAAGAGCGGCGCTATATCAGAAGCTTTTTCAGCTGCCGAACTGGCGAATTTCGTCGCTTCGCCGTGCAGGGGATGCCTCCTTCCCGAAGAGGGAGGGCCCCCTGTAGGCGGGATGCAAAACATCACCAGCAACTGCAGCAAGCGCGAAGGGGAGAAGGAGGGATTGCTGCTGCCAGTGCTTTTCACGGGAAAACGGCGCACTGCCCCCTGGGGCCCTAGGGGCCCCCCGTTTGTTGCACTACCCCCGAAGGCAGAAGTTGAGTCGCAGCAGCAGCAGCAGCAGCAGCAGCAGCAGCAGCAGCAGCACGGCGGGGTCCAAGGGGAGCAGCGAGGGAAACGCCAGGGCAAGGAAGTTCATGGATTCGTGGGAAAGAAGCATCTCAAGCAGCAGCAAGAAGAAGAGGAGCAGCGGCAAGAAGAGGAGCAGCAGCCGAAGAGCTCCGCGGCGTTGGAGGAGACTCCTCCCCACGATTTGCGAATCAAGGAAGAACGAGAGGACGAGCAGCAGCAACAGCAGCAGCGCTTGCAGTTGCAGCTTGCAGAAGATGTCGCTGCTTGCTGCCACAATATGGTGGAGGGGCTTCAGGGGCCCCGTCTTTTTGTTGCGAGCGTCGATCTGCTCGCCGAGCAGCTCGCGTTGCTGCAAGTAAGAGCTGACATTCGTGCTGCTGCTGCGGCTGCCTCTGCTGCCCGTGCTGCTGCTGCTTTTCCAAGCAGCAGCAGCACGGGCGGCAGCACAGGCAGCAGCGAAAAGAGCAGCAGCAGCAGCACGGGCGGCAGCACAGGCAGCAGCGAAAAGAGCAGCAGCAGCAGCACGGGCGGCAGCACAGGCAGCAGCGAAAACAGCAGCAGCAGCAGTACGGGCGGCAGCACAGGCAGCAGCGAAAACAGCAGCAGCAGCAGTACGGGCGGCAGCACAGGCAGCAGCGAAAACAGCAGCAGCAGCAGTACAGGCAGCAGCGAAAAGAGCAGCAGCAGCAGTACAGGCGACCTGTCGTTAGATGGAGCAGAGGCAGAGAGAAGCTGCTCCATGCGAGGGCGTGTCACGAATGCGATCTTAGCGTCAGATTTCAAGGAGTTCAGCAGCGAGATGCATCCCCGACTCTCTGTAAAGGCGGAGCGGCGAGCAGTCGCTCCAACGGAAACGAGGCTGGCGTTCACCCCCAATACGTCAAGCGGCAAGGCTTTGCATGCAAAAGACAGCAGCCGCTTCGGAGGGGCAGACACTACGCAGCAGGCTGTCTCGCATCCTTTATTTGCGAAGAGTGCCACTGCAGAGGCAGAGAGTGGCAGCCAGCCTGAAGGGGGGAAGAAAGGCTATACTTGCAGCGACGGCAGCGGCTTTTCCTGCTATGAAACAGCGCGAGGCAATGTCACCAGCAGCTTTCCCTCTTCGCGGGTAGTAGAAGTGCGTCTAAGCAGCAGCAGCGACGGCGCAAATGAGAGCTTCAGGAGGGGCCCCTTGGCTTTGCCCCCTTTGGCTGGAGAGAGGATTCAACGTGTGCTGCATCTCTCGGGAGTCGCCATCCCTTTTCATCACGCAAACGTCCTTCTGCCGCAGCAGCAAATCATGGAACGCCTCGTTGCCGCGTGCATGCAGCAGAGGCATGCTATTCTGGAAGCCCCAACAGGCATGCGACTTACTTGCCTGCCGCTGAGAAGTGCTGGATGCAGCCTCTCTGTAGATATAAGTTACGGCGAGCTGTCTGCTCTTTTTGCTGGCTTTTTCTCTGCTGAGGGCAGAGGAAACGTCGGTGACGGTGACCAAAGATACAGCTGCAAAGGCTGTGTTTCTCATTCTCTCTCCCTCTCTTTCCATTGATCTCTCTCTCTCTCTTTCCATCGATCCTTCTCTCTTTATCACTGCGAGTCTCGCATTGAAGCGCAGCGACAGTCCCTTGAAGGGGCCTCTTACCGCGTCTGCCCTCCTTCTCTCACCTCCCTGTCCATGCATCTTCGTGATTTTGCCGTAACTCTCCCTTCTGCTGCTTCTCTCTCTTCCTGTGTCTCGCTTTCTAAACCGCTCCTAGCCTGGCGCCATGCGTCCACTTGTCGAGAAGCCGCGTCCGTGCATGCCTCTCTCTCTGCCCTCCAGGCTTCTGGCCGCAAAAATCTGCTGCTGCTGCTGTGCTGCTGCTTCTGTGCTGCTGCTGCTGCATGCCCACGCCCCCATAAGGCGTGCTGCTCTCGCTGATGCTGTCGCTATGTAGTGCAGCTGCCTGTGTGTGCAGGAACAGGGAAAACGGCTGCGTTGCTGTGTGGATCGCTGGCTTGGCAACGCTTTGAGTACCACCGCACGCGCGTTCGAGGCAGCTGCCCAATTCTCTACTTGACACGCACCCACAAGCAGGGAACGCAGGTGTGCAGGCCCCTGCATGCTTTCTAAAAGTCTGCCGCCCCTCTTCTGCTGCCGTCGGAAAGCCTTAAAGCTGCCTTCTTGCCTCTCTTTTCATTATGCCCCCTTCGCTGCTCTCTCCAGCTCCTGGTTGCGCATTGCGTGCCTCGGAGAAGTCAACACGTCGTGGCATTTCCCCCATCTGCCCTTGTTGCTCTGACCCTCTTTTTCCGAGAAGAGAAAAGGGAAGCAGCAACCTTAGAAGGAGGCAGCTATGAGAAGGCAGAGTGCTTTGGCGCGTGTGCTTCAGCTCCATCCATGCCTCTTCCTGCGTCTCCTCTCCCGCATACTTCCGTAGCCTCTCTCACCGGGTCATCTCTGTGTGTCTGCTAATGCATGCATCTAATTTAAAAACATTCATGTGGATGTATGTAGGTACATCCACATATAAATGCATCTACAAATACATCCATATATAAATATCTATACGTAGTAATTTATGTACCTCTGCACATACGGTGTACGTACACCCGAAATTTCGGGCACTCGCCGTGCATGCTGACATGGCTGCCTTGCGAAGGCCTGCTGGAGGGTGTGTTTTTCTGTGAATTTGTTCAGGTTATTGCTGAGCTGCGGAGAAGCCCCTTTCGTGCTCGCGCCGTCCATTTAGCTTCACGAGAGCACCTCTGCTCGTTCCTCTGTTCTAGGGAGGTCGCTAAGGCAGCAGCAGGAGGAGAAGCAGACGTCGCGGCTGGTGCAGAAGGAGGCGAAGAAGACCCTTCTTCCGTCGCTGCGTCAGCTGTCAGCGGTGTGGACTGTCGCACTGCTGCGCGGCTCGTGGAAAGGTTGCGGAGGCGGCAAAGCGGGGAACTGCGCAGTTGTGCTTACCTTGTGTCTGCTCCTTCGGCGGCTTCAGACAAGGAGCAGAAAGGGCGTCACGTAGACAGCCACGCGTGGATGCAAAAAGGGCCTTGCATTCTGAATCTTCGTGGGCTCTCGAAGCAGCAGCAGCGACAAGAGCAGCAGCTGCTGCGCGCTGTAAAAGCGAAGCAGCTCGACCTGCTCGCTGCTGCACGCGCGGCGCCGCTGCCTCCTTCTTTGGGGGGGGCCAGTCGAAGCTTCTCGGCAGAAATAATTGCAGCAGATGTGCATGCAGAGACAGGAGCCGAGATCTCGGGAAGCGAGAAGACCGAGCCAGCTGCAAAGACAGCCGCAGAGGCTGCGGGAGGAGGAGGCACTGCTGGAATGAGTTGGATCTGTCCTCATTACGTTCGCCTCTCTGATCCTTCATATGCCGCGCAGCTGGCAGCCAGCGCCTTCCCCCCCGTGGCGTTTTCTGCACTCGAACCGCATGCACCGACGGCAACGCCAGAGGCTGCTGCTGCAGCGGCAGCAAGCGCAACAGCAGCTGAGGCGCTTGAGGCCAAACGCAGGGGCGCCTGTGCCTGCAGCAGCAACAAGAACAGCAACAACAACGCGTATAGCAGCAGCAACAGCACTGAGAACACGCTCAGCAATCAGAGCGAAGGCGTGCTCGACATAGAAGGGCTTTCCGCACTTGCGGCTACCTGCGGTCGCAAAAGCAGCTCCAGTTGCGGCTATCCTGTTGGGGGATGCGCGTATTACAGCAGCCAGGCGCTAGCTCAAGGGGCTGACATCGTTATTTGCCCGTATGCTTTCGTCTTTGACCCAGGAGTCGCTAGGAGGACTAAAATCAAAGCGCTCCTTCCAGGTATGTTTCCTGCCATTGCACCTCTTGCGGCATCGCCTAGGGAGAATCCGTCATGAATCTTGCTGAACGCTTCCCGAAACCATCATGAAATCTTTCTAATGCCATCATGAAATCTTTCTAAAACCATCATGAAATATCCACGAAACCATCATGAAATCTTTCTAATGCCATCATGAAATATCCATGAAACCATCATGAAATCTTTCTAAAACCATTATGCAATATCCACGAAACCATCATGAAATCTTTCTAAAACCATCATGAAATCTTTCTAAAACCATCATGGAATATCCCCGAAACCATCATGAAAAATCTTTACGAACCAATCATGAAATCTTCCTAAATCCTTCTTGAAACCACCGTGAATTTTTTTTTGAACTTTTTCTGGGACCATTTATTCGCATGGCACACGTTCAGTGCGGGTTTCACTGCGTTGTGTGCCGCCACTACCCCCCGCTACAAGACGGTACCCCGCACTGTTGCGCCTGCCGCTAGCATGCGTGAGGGTGCTGCAGGCAGTGTTGTCATAGTGGATGAGGCGCACAACATTGAAGATATCTGCAGGGATATAGGAAGCATTGACATATCAGTAGAGCAGCTGCAGCAACTGCACCGCTGGCTTGTGTCGCTGCAGCAGCTCCTCCTATCGCCCTTAGCCGCAGGAGCTGCGGTAAGGGGAGACACCCGTCTGCAACAGTTGTTGCAGCGGCTGGCACTTCACGCAGGGCGTCTTGCGACTCCCATCTCGAGGCTTCTGGATGCAGCAACCGAAGCGGCGAAGAATCAGCAGCTGCTGCGCCGGGTGCTGCAGCAGCAGCAGCACGCGATTCGCGAGGAGCTTCAGCGGAAAAGCAGAGGCAGCAAAGAGACTTCCCGCAGCAGCGGAGGCAGAGGCACAAGTGCAGCGGCAGCTGCAGAGGAGCCTGTGGTGTCTATTGAGCTTTTAGGGTGGGGAGGCGGGGGAACGCCTGAGGGAGCAAAGGCGTTTGCTGCAGTAGCAGGGGTAGAATCAGAGGAAGTCGCAGGCGCGCTTTCAGAAAGTATGGAAAACTTGGCTCTGAGCAGCGGCGAGGCAGCAGAAACCGCTGGCATCGTTCCCTTGACGCCAGGAGAAAGTCTGCAGCAGCTCGAGCAGCTCGTCTTCTGCCTCTCGCTTGTTGCCAGGCACCCCGCCGCGTATACGGCATCCCTCCGCCTTTCAGTAGACAAAGCCTTTCTCGCGAATGTTTTTGCTTCCGCGCACCAGCAGCAGAAACGCGAAGCAGACGCCCTGCCAAGGATTTCCATCCACATATGGCTGCTCTTGCCAGCTGTTGTCTTCTCCCGCGTAGCAGAAACTGCCAGATCCGTGATTCTTGCCTCCGGCACTCTCGCTCCCTTCGATTCGTTTGCGTATGTTGTTGCTATGGTTCGCTTCTGCGAGAGTTACCTGCAGTGGCAAGATGCTTCTGGGTGTAGCTCGTGGTTGCTTCTGTGTGTAGCTCGTGGTTGCTTCTGTGTGTAGCTCGCGGTTGCTTGAGTGTGTAGCTCGTGGTTGCTTCTGTGTGTAGCTCGTGGTTGCTTGAGTGTGTAGCTCGCGGTTGCTTGAGTGTGTAGCTCGTGGTTGCTTCTGTGTGTAGCTCGCGGTTGCTTCTGTGTGTAGCTCGTGGTTGCTTGAGTGTGTAGCTCGCGGTCGCTTCTGTCTGCTGACGATGGCGGCTTTTTTTAAGCGCGGAAAGGGGGGGAGAGAAGAAGAAGGCAGGGAGAAGAGGAGGGGATATGGCGAGAAAGCGGGGTAGAAAGGGTGTCGATACGCTGTCGTGACAAAGGGCCCTACCGCTGCCACTCTTTGCTGCGGCTGTGTGTGTGGGGGTGTGCTGCCTCCGTGGCGCTGTCTGCAGATCTGAGTTAGGATCGGCTTTCGCGAAGCGTTTGTTAGGACCGCCCTTAGAGGCGCAGCATGTCATTAGCCATAAGCAGCTGTCGCTGATTGCTGTGGGTGCCATGCCCCTTGCCACAGCCGCAGAACCCTTGGCAACTCCAGCTGTAACGACAGCCGCTACGGCGGAGCGACTACGGCTACTGCAGCAGCAGCAGCAGCACCTTCATAGGATCCGATTCAGAGAGCTGCGATGCCAAGCTTCGAATCTTCGAGATCCTGCCTTCTTTGCCGATCTGGGGAGAACCGTTGCACGGCTGCTCCAGTGTATTCCAGGAGGCGTGCTGCTTTTCCTCCCTAGCTACGCTTTGCTGCAGCAGGCACAGCGCCTGTGGCAACGCGAACCTATGTGGCAGCAGCAGCAGCAGCAGCAGCAGCAGCAGCAGCAGCAGCAGCAGCAGCAGCAGCAGCAGCAGAAGCAGCAGTGGCAGAAGCAGCTGCAGTGGAAGGAGGAACCTCATCGGCGGCAGCGCAAGAAGGCGATCTGGGATGTTTTCGTGGATCTGAAGCTGCACGTGTTTGTCGAGTCGCAGGCTTCTGCTGCCGCCACCGACTTGCTGCAAAAACAATTTGTCTCCGCTGTTCATACAGCTGGGCACGCCTTGCTGCTAGCCGTTTATCGGGGGAAGCTGAGTGAAGGCCTCTCCTTCAACGACAACCTCTGCAGGGGGGTCCTGTGTGTGGGGTTGCCTTTTCCTTCCTTGGGAGATCCTAAGGTTGTTAAGAAGAGGGAGTTCAACGACGCCTGTCTTGCAAGGAGCCTCAAGCAGCAACAGCAGCAGCAGCAACTGCAGCAGCAGCAGCAGCAAAGTCTGCACAAGCCGCGGGGAATCCCGCCTTTGCAGCTTATCAGCGGATCCAGGTGGTACACTACGCAGGCATTTAGAGCTCTCAATCAAGCAGCAGGTCGATGCATTCGACACTTGTGAGTCGTGTTTTGTACGTACACCCGGCTGCTGCCCCTGAGTCGCCTCGTCTGCCGCCGCAAGCACACGCTTGCGAAAGACGCTTCTTGCTGCGTTTGCTGTCACCGATCGTGCATGCGCGGCTTCCTGCTGCTGCTGCCGCTGCTGCCCTCGTCGCTGTTTCTCAGGGGAGACTATGGCGTGGTGGTGCTGCTGGAGAGCAGACATTCCGCCTGCTGCAAAGACCTCTGTCGATGGCTAAAGCCTCACCTCACTTTCGAGAGCTCTCTCTGGCCTTTGCTGCTGCGCCTACACCACCACTTCGAGGGGGCGGCTGCCGCTGCCGCTGCCGCTGCTGCGGTGACGGCAGCGCACGCTGACGGCGCGAATCACGACACCCCTTCAACAGCACTTGCTGCTCATCGCGCTCTGCCCGGTAGCGCTCTCTGGCTTCAGCCTTCGCAGCAGCTCCTCGTTTCCAAGCAGGAGCAGCAGGAGAGGGCGCAGCAGATGCCACCGGTCGGGGTAGAGCAGCATCAACAACCTCAACAGCTGCAGCAACAACCTCAACAGCTGCAGCAACAACCTCAACAGCTGCAGCAACAACCTCAACAGCTGCAGCAACAACCTCAACAGCTGCAGCAACAACTTCAACAGCTGCAGCAACAACCTCAACAGCTGCAGCAACAACCTCAACAGCAGCATCAACAACCTCAACAGCTGCAGCAACAACCTCAACAGCTGCAGCAACAACCTCAACAGCTGCAGCAACAACTCGGGCCGCTGGAGAAGGCTGAGAGGCCGCAGCAGCAGCAGAAGCAGCAGCAGCAGAAGCAGCAGCAGCAGCAGCAGCTACGACAACAAAGCCAGGTCCATGCGGCGGCGTATTCGCGGGTTCATCTGCAGCGTATGTGCTTTTCACAGCCAACGCAGCAGCATCAAGTCAAGGTCGATTGTGCCTCGGCGGCAGGCATAGTGCAACAACAGCGGCAGCAGCGCATCTGTACTGCGCCACCAAGTAAGCTGCAGCTGCAGCAGCCCCCTGCAGCATATCAACAGCTCCCTGCGCCCATCAGCAGCAGCATTTCCCAAGAAGCAGCAACAGAAGCAACAACACACACCGAGGCAGACGACTGGCTGTCGAAGGAAGAAACTGAGGATTTGCTCTCCGTTTTCGACTGAGGCTCGCACTGCACCCGAGACGAACGGCTCGTGCAAAAGGATCAGCACTCAGAATCGCCGATCTCTCAATGCTTTGCAGCCCGCATGAGGAGCACCTAGTTCAGCGCAGTTTCCCTCCCGTTACGGCAGTTACATATGCCCTCCAAACCGGTCCTGTATATATATATATATATGTGTATGTATATATGTATGCCTTGCCTGGCAAGGGTTAACAAGTGTAAGGGAGGTTATGGCGCATCACGGTAAGAAGAGCAGCGCACAGCAGCACGCGGGAGTAGGTACAGTGGAGAGAGGAAGAGAGCACCAGAAGTCTTGCAGAGTCGGCAGGATGAAGCCAGAACTTGAATAGCACTAGCACAAAGCTGCACGGGGGAAAAAGCAGGGGTGGGGGTAGGGGGGTAGCAGCGCAAGAGCTGAGGGGGGGGAAGGGGGGCAGAGGCCTCTAAAGAGGCTCATGACGAAAAGAGAGCTAAACGACCTCGAAGGGGAGTAACAGCGTATCGCAGAAATACTGGAAGGTACTGTATGTAACGAAGCGCTTGGTGGGTTTTAGCTGCCATTGATGAGACTGCTGCTAAAATTTTTGTAAGGCATTAGAAGGCCTTACAAAAATTGCGACCCAGAGAAGCAGCACCACACTTTTGAGGGGTGGCATCCTCCGTAACAAAATGTATAGGCCACCCCACTTCTTAAAAAGCAGCAGCGAAAAGGCGAATTCTTGTTGAGACGCAGCTGGCTGTGGCGCCGCATCCCACACAGGCTCTTGTGCGGGGGGATGTGAATCCGCAGCACATGTGTCAGGCTTTGCTAACAGTTTCGGCTGTCTTAGAGCCTTGCCTGGTAGCAGCGGCAGCACGACGTGTGGGTATGTAGCGCTTCATGTGGAAGACACGCAGATTTTTTTGCTGCTGCTGATGCGCAGCTGCCGCGGGGCCAAGACAAACTCTTCGAGAAAACGCCAGTAGTCATTTGCCACTGCCGCGTCGTTATGGCGGTGGCTGCGTGACAGACGAAACACCTGCAGCAACAGCAGCAGACAAGACGGCCAGTAAGGAGCGCTGCGACGTCATCCAAAACGAGGTTTTGCAAGCACCCAGCAGCCACACGCACACTGCGCCTCCTCTGAACGAGCACAGTTCACCCGCTGCTTACTCTGATATTCCACTGGAGAACTTCTGGAGGAATGGCATCTTCATCATACGCAAAGAGTGCGCCCCTTCGCGGAAGCAGGAAGAGCGGAAAGCAGCACACCCCGCGCACGCAGATGCAGCAACGAGAGCAGCCGCAACAAACAGGCTTGCAGGAGGAGTGCGGCTGCAGCACCTGCAACTGCTGCACCCAAGCAGGAGGCGGGCAGAGGGAAATTCGACCGAAACATTCTGTAGCGAATAGAGATCTGCAGCGGGGTTCAGAGGCGTAGCCACAACCACCTACCGGAATGACTGAAAGAGCTCAACCCATCCCTGAAACGGCCATTCATTGAATTGCCACTTTGTTTTTTCCGCGCTGCCGCCTCCTAAAAAGACCCCAACGACGGAGGCCCAGTCCTTCTGCGTGAACTTTGGGGTGTACGTACACTCCAGAGCTTTGAAGGTGTACTCCTTGTTGCGGATCCGGCGCTTGATCGACACGCCTTCCGCCGAGACGGGGATTCCAGCTGCGTGACGCACACAGAAACGACGCAAAGGCGCGCGCTGCCTGCAGACGCAGAATCGCTGCAACTGCTGCGGCTGTTTACGCGGCGCTGAGAGCCGTGGCAGTACTGCGGGGAAGCACAGCAAAGCGGCTGTTGCCGCCTTCCCGCGATGGCAAGCGGGATGACGCCACGCGCGACAGCAACTCCGCAGCCAGCAGAACGACTGGGAATACCTTACCTGCAACGGCATCCTTGTGAGCTTGTCGAGGATCAACAAAAGTACCACCCTCCAGGAAGGCCTTTGCGTTGTCTCTCGTAAGGAGACACCCGGAGCCGCTCGCCGCCAGCGAGGGGAGCAACAGCAAAGGTCGCCGCTTCAGGTGTACGCACACCTCGTCCAGCACGCAGAAACGCGGAGCAGCTGCAGCACATACCGCCTCGCAGCAGTCAAACGCTGAGCCAGCGCTAGCTACTACCCGATTCTGCTTTCTCTAGGCAATTTTTTAAAAAAAGATACACATCCCGTCCAACGCTTTCTCCATCACTCTCAACAAAAGGCAGCAGCTCCTCACATGAGGGCCCTCGAGGCACTCCCCGGTGCTCGGCAGCTCCGCAATTCAGTCGCTTCTGCTGCTGTTGCCTTGCAGCTGAGGCCGTTCCCGCTGCGAAATCCCCAGCAGCAGCATTAGCAGCAGCAGCAGCAGCAGCAGCAGCAGCAGCAGCAGCTCTTTGGGAGTTGAACGTCTTGTAAGAAAAGGCGTCGAGGGGCCGCTTGGCTCTCCTGGCTTTTTCAACGGCCACCAACTCCCCCAAGACATCTCCAAAATTAACTCCCCGTGTCAGCACCGCAGCAGCGCGTGCATGCAGAGGGCGTTGCAGCCGCAGAAGATGCAGGCTGCAGCTGTCGTCGCTGACATTCGTTTTCTCCGCTTCGACAGGCCCCCAGAGCGAGAGATCCGCCTCCCCGTCGAACCACTGAGGCAACACCCAGTGCTGCCTCCCCTGCTGCGCAGCCGCGGCTGCCGCAGCAGCGGCAGCAGCTGTATCCAGGGAGCTCTGGGCGTCTTCATCTCCAGGCAAGCGGATCGGAAGAGAGGGGTCCAACGGAAAAAGCGGCTGCTTGTGCGCCGCCAGAAGGGCTGCAGCCTCTGCTGCAGCCGTCTCTTGAGCTGTCGCAGCAGCTGCTGCTGCTGCTGAAGCAGTCGGAGGACTGCCCGCTGCAGCAGCCTCGCCAGCAGTCGTGGAACGAGGCAACGGTCCAGAGATGGCATGCAAGATCTTAGGGCGCTCAAGAACGTTGATGTAGCGATGCCCTTTCTCCGTGATGGCTAAGTAGTTGTACGCCTCCTTGGGGGTAGAGAGCAGGAGCCAGAGATCAGCGACCGTGTAGGCCTCCCTCTTGCGGCTTGCGATGCCTGAAGGAGCTCCCGCATCGATGTAGCAGTTTCGCTTCTGCAGCACTAGACGCTCCACGCCACCCACTTGTTGCAGCATGCAACTGTCAACGCCGTCCTCGTAGGCGGCCCTTAAAAGAGCCAGGGGGTTCAAGCAGCGCTCTGCGCCGCTGTCGCTGCTGCTGAGTTCAGCGGGGGCGGATGAACGGCTTCTCGCTGTTGAGGCAGACATCGCCGGAAGAAGGGAGATTTCACGCGGAAACAACGTGCGTGAGAATGAAGGATGGATAGCGCCTCGGCCGCCGCTCTCTCTCTCGCTGCTGCTGGCAATGCACGCTGCAGCAGCCTCGCTGTGAAGCTGTCGCAGCCGCTCGCTCCAGCAGCAACAGCCGCGCGCGGCAGCTTGCTCGCCTGAGACTGCTCGCCTTCCTTGAGTTCGCACAAATCCCTCGCGGGAAGCGCTTTTTCCAGCAAGTAGGAGAGAGGCGGCCCCTCCGCAAGAAGACGCAACGACGAAGAGACGCCAAACGCGGCACCACAACGCAAGGGAAAATGGCGCAAAAAGCCATATACCAGCAGACCTCCCTCTCCAGTTCTGCATGCAAGACCCCTTGCACACACCCCGGCCTGCGTATGCCGCTCTCCCTCGCTTTTTTATGACTTATATTCTAGTTTTGTAGTTTTTTGGTGCTTTTCTTGCGTAAAAATTCGCGCCAGCGGCACACGCGCAGCTTTTTGGCAGGGCATGCACCCAACGGGCTGGGCCCCTCCCTGGGGGGGCCCCCGATTTTCGGCCGGTGGGGCCCCCAAAATGCCACCACCCCTTTCGTCGCAGACAGAGTCCGCAAGGGGCCCCCTTCTACACACTATTCCTTCGGGAGCGTCTCACAGGAGTTCCGAAGCGGGTGACACCCCTACCGGGGGTGTCATGACACCTGCCCATTGGAAAAGAGAGAAGAGGGGCCCCTCCCCTCCCTTTTAAGTGTGAATGCCTAAAATTCTCCTGGGATTGAGGCAAAAGCGAGCCGAAACAACAGGAGGTGTGAGCCTCCTGCCCCAGCGGTACGGCGATTGGCTTTTAAAAAAGCCGATAAAGCGCAGTAGTTCAACAAAAGGCGCTAAGCGGGGTTCAAATGCCCCTTTACTAGGAGTGCGCGCGAAGCGACTGAAACCGAGCAACTGTAAAGGAAGAGAGACACCGAGCACATGCTGGTCTCTCTATTGCCTCCCTTTACCCCTGTGCAACCCTCCCCCTTTCCTCGCTTCGTCTTTCGTAGCACCTTTGTTGGTTCTGGAATACTAAATCTGAACGTCTCCTACGACCCCCCTCCCCCCGCTTCTCCCCCCGCCCCGCCCTTCCTGCCAGACCACCCCCAACCCATCCTGTTACATTCCACGCCTCTGTAGTCTCTGCAGCCGTCAATTCTTGACGGTGCATCTGCGTGGATGTGCTTTCTCGCCATCGAGAGCCTGCGCATTTTGAGATCCTCCATCGCCCTATAACGGCGTGGAGCTTCTCGCTGGAGGCGCTGCCGCTTGTGCAGCAGCTGCATGCATGGCCAAGGGCCCTAAAGGGGGTGTGGATCCTCGGTAGCCTCAAGGATACTCCTTGAGTTGCATGCTGTTGAGCACCACGCGCCTGATCGCTGGCGTCGTGAGCGCTGCGGCAACCCGTTCCTTGTCGTTCAACTGTTTCGCGAGCGACTCTGCCGACTCGTGCGCACAAACGCTCAACCACAAAGACAGCCGGGGAGCTACAAAGGGGAGGGGCCCCCAGGCTCCTCCCTCCGCAGCAGCTGCTACTGCCGCCGACGAATCGGAGGCTCCCGCCCCTCCGTTAAGAGCTAGTGCTGCTGCATCGCCACAAGCGAAGTCTAAGGCTAAACGGGCACGCACTAACAAGCCCAACATGGAAGCAAAAGAACAGCGAGGATTCGTGGGATGCACGCAGACTACGACGCAACAGCATCGACACCCTGGATCGCAACCTTCGACCTCCTCCTCACGGCTGCCATGACTGCTGTTGCCGGCAGCGCAGTCGAAGTTTTCGTGACCGCTTCCGTTGCTGCTGCGACAGCGCGTGCAACAATTGACGCAGTCCGCTTCCCTCCACGGTTCCGTGAACGGAGCTCGCGCTCGAGCACAGCCGTCGGCGCTGCTGTGAATCGGGCAGGTGGCTGTACACCTGACCACGATGAGCTCCGGCAGAACGACTTCCAGCTCCTCCAGCGTCTGCGCTGGAAACTCGGGGTCACGTAGATCTCTAATGGAGTCAAAGATTTCTGCCGCGAAGGCGGCACAGCGTCCACACCCCCCCATTCGCCTCCCCCGCTCCCTTCCTCCCGAGCGGCGCCGCGAGCGAAGCGCTCACTCCCAGACCCCCTAGCTCGAAATGCGGATCTGGAAGGCACAGCTGGGAGGTCTGGAGGCTTCCGCAGTGACTGTACACTCGAGCCCTAAGGCGGCAAGGGCCCCCCTGATGGCTCCACAGACAAACGCGACGTGAAGTTGCGGCTGAGTGGCAGCAGTCCTCAGCAGCTCCTCTTCGTGCTGCTGCTGAATGGCGTCGCAGCCTTTCCGCACCCCTGCAGTCGCAGGCGGCAGGGAGGCTGCTAGGGGATGGACGCGCCGGAGCCACGGCAAGCTCGCGTCATGCACTACGTAGCCGCCCCTTCGGTTCGTTTGCAGCCGATCCGCCTGCTTCTGGAACAGAAAGTGCCACAGGTCCTTGCACACGAACTTCACGCACTCCCGCTGCTCGGGCATGCGACAGCACTTCAGAGTCAGCCGCTCCGCCACTCGGCTGCCCACGCGGAAGCCGCCGCTCTGAAGAAGCGGCAACGCAGCAGCGGCTGCTGCGGCTGCTGCGGCAGTAGCTCCCGCTGTTGCGCGCCCACGGGAGGAGGCGGAGTCTGCTGAAGCCTCGGGAGCCGCCCAATAGGGGCTGCACCGACGGAGAGTATACAGAAGCAGCTCCTGATGCAAGAGCGTCACGCCAGTGCTGCTCACTTCGTGGATCGGGGGGACTGCAATTGCAGCGGCTGCTATCCCCGCTGAGGTGGGAGAGGAAACAGACGCCACCGGCTGTTGCTGGTGCTGCGGTGTATGACGGCCCTCGCCTCCTATCGTTCGGGCGCTTGACGAGGAAGGCGCGGGGGGAATAGCTGCTGTCGCGCCATCCTCCATCTTACGCGTGTTCTTCGCTTGTTATTACCTCTTGTGCACGCTCCAATTAGCAAGCGATCCTAAAATTCCATCTGAAACATGCGGTCGCCCCGTGTGGCCATGAGATTGGCGGGCAAGCACTGCGCAACCTGTACAGAGGAGGTGCTAATGCTTGAGGCGTCGGCGGAAGCTGCATGCGCGATGAAGTTCTAGGGGGAGAAAAGACAAATAAAGGAAATAGGCTCATGTCTTTGTGCTTGAAGTTCATAAGGTTCTTGAAAAACCTGTGCAAACAGCTCTACGCAGCAGCGAGGCTGACGCACCGAGAAACCTGCACAGCATAGCCCGCAGCGCGCTGAGTCGTCCCGAAACAAAATTGTACTGTCCTCTTATTTATATAAGTGTTTAGGCTCAGAATGATGTTACTATACTTCTATGAAAAACACGTTACTGTGCGTGTGTAAAGGCTAGGCACCCGGGTTTCCATTGGGTTGCGGCTGTCATTGCCTGTCGGGGGAGCTTCGGGCGATTTACTAACTGCGTACAAATAGGAGAAAAACACCTTCTCTCTAGGCATCGGGAAACCTTGCTTTTGGCGCTTTTGCGGGGTGCTATGGCCAGAATGCGCCATGTCTCCCGTTGCCATCGAATACGCCGGAAGGGCCCACAAACTAGTAAACGGGCTAAGCTACACTTTAGCACTGTCTAGTGCACTGTTTATACGTTGGGCAGTTAGTGTAGTTTTTTGTTGCTTATCAGAGCTAGCTCGACACACGAAGACGCAACCTTCGGCGCGTGTGTGCTAGATGCGGTGTTCAAGTAGCTGGCAGCTCGGAGTACTTTAGGGGCGAAGCCATGCGCAAACTAGCTGCCCCTCTCCCCTGGTTCAGGGTAGAAGGAAGTCAGAGAAAGGCAGCATTGCACTGGAAAGCTCTCAGTGGCTTCCTATTGAGCTTGAATTGAGTCTAGAGTAAAGTGCCTGATTGCGAATACCCTAGCTGCAGTATTACAGTTGGTAAGACCGCATGGTCCGATGTAGAGCCAGAAGAGAAGTCCGGAGAAAACAAGCCGTCGCAATCAGCCCCTGACAACCCCTCAACAACGCAGCTGCCTCTATTGTGAAAACTTGGGCATAATATTTCAGAAGTGCAAGCGTCTGCAACCAACCAGGAAGCCATCAACAGCAGGACTGTACCTCGTGAAAGCGGGATGCTTGGCGGGCACGGAAAAACACTAGGGCAAGGGATAAGTGCCCATGCAGGCTACGGGGCAGTACATGGGAATACAGAGGATAGAGGACGCAATCAGACGCTCGCCACGGGTCGTCTCTGCCCTGATACACGTTTGTATTAGTGGTTGAGAATTATCAGTTGACACTGGATGTGAAGTAAAGCTGTAACCCAAAGAGGCCACGCATAAGTGCGATCTCCCGGTTCTCTCGATACCTCATTTCCTTAGACTCACATTTTGCGGATGAATGGAACAAAGTAAGCAATGGCAACGCTACACAGTTTAATGCCACTTTAAGCCGGAATGGGGTCTTGTCACAACGGTTCGTGACTTCTCTGCTGGTCTTGTGCAGCATGGCGTGATCATGGGAATACCTCGGGCCACCCAATGAAAGGCACACATGCGCTCACAGCTACGCGTGACGGAGGCTAGCGTGCTAGGCAGTGCTCTAAAGAAGCGCCTTCTGGTCTTCGCAGCAATGCTCATTTCAAATATGTTGAGCGGTAGTGATCCGGTACATCAACAAGCTAAGGCAGTGACTTCATGTAGGTGGATCCGCAGTGCTTATGAACAAAGCTCTGAGCAGGCATTTCGTCTTTGCTGCTCTGTGTCGGGTGCTCAATAATGAAGAGCCGCCAGCAGAATGACCCCATGCTCGTGGTCCAGCGCACCACTTTGAGCAAATCTTCGAGGCAGCCCCAAGCCATGTTCCGCGCTCTCGAAGGACCCCACAGCACATATAGGATATTGAGCAAACAATATCATTGGATGTAAAATGTAAAATGCAAGAATGAAGCATTGTTCTGGGGCGTAACCCCGTGGTGGTGCCGAAAAGGACAAAATCTGGAGCATCTACACTAGCTTCAAACCCCTAGCGGAAATCACTATGCAGCAGAAAATTCGATTCCGTAATTACGGTCTTTACAAATTAGACGGAGCAGCAGTCTACTCTGCATTGGACCTCACAACTAACCTCCCACAAATCATCACTCCACTGATGGCAGGCACAACACGACGATTCACATTCGCATTCGCAGACTCGAGCATACCTGTATGTTCTTCAATTTTTTGATGCCCCAGCTGAAATTCAATGACAAATGAATTGGGATTAGGTGAGCATTCCAAGGAGGGGTGGATGAATGCCTACATAGGCGGCATTCTGCTTTACACCCAAAACTTTCTACGGCACCTGTGGCATCTACGAGGTGCGCATCAACTGCAGTGGGACGAGCAGTGGTCAATACGGACAAATACGTGCTTGGTTATTGATAATGATTGCGTTTCTAAGAATGCGTGCTTGGGCAGAAGGAGTTAAGCCAGATCCGACAAATTTCAGGTAATTGAAACGCGCCTTTTATCTTCGAAATGATAGGCTTTCATCTGATTGCTCAAAGTTGATTTTTTGATATGCTCGGATCGCTGATGCTTCGTCTGATAGATTCAAGAAAACGCAGTTCGTGCTCTGAACAGAAATGTTAACGCCGCAGCAACGACGCACATCTGCCGCCTTAAAACTCTCCCGGCGCTTTGCGGCCCAACTATGCGCGTCATTTCTTCTCAACAGCCGAAATTGGCTACGGATCGATGCTCGCTATTTTCTTTTGGCAGACTACGGCTTTTCCAAGCCAATTTATACTTCGTGACTCTCGTCGCCTCAGCGACACCGAGCAGTGGATCTTACTGTCGGCAAACAAGTTCTGTGCGGCGTGCTGAAGCGTGTTAAGGTGTCAGCACTTTCATATGGGCGTCATTTGACTGTCCAGGTAGATCATCATTTCTCAAGGCACTTACGAAGTCCCCTGGAGGTTGTTTACTGGCTTGGGTGTCTGCTGCAGTACGACGATGCAGTGAAACACATTGAGGGCATCCCCAACGATATAAAGATAAACGGGCCATCGCAACGCCCCAACGTGTTCACTATTGCCCAGCACAACCGCTCTTGTCTATCTTGTCTATGACGATTCACGGTTTCTAACAAAACGCCGATAGTCTTATGCCCCTGACACCTATGTATTCGCTACTTTTGCCAAAATATTTGAACGGCAAGACTGAAGCACTGCAACGCTAAGGATGGCCTGCTGTCGTTCAAAACAAAGAGGGCCCTTGCCGTTCGCATATTTCGACTTCAGCTTTTAGCTGACGCGTTGCGCAAAGGGCATGATTATGTCCTTTTGATACATTGTGGAATTCACACCACACCAAGCATTCCTGGTCGTTCTGACGACCTGGGTTGTATCCTGTGACAGAGGAGTATGCGCTGGCATGCCCAGATTGTCAGCAGATAAAGCAGCACAATTCTTTTAAGACCGCCTTTTTGCAAAGCCATCCGGGTCTTGAAAAGACTTGGACTGATCTGAATATGAGCTCTATTGCTGAACTCAATGTAGTGCTTAACTGTGGGAATTCAAGGTTAAGGATACCAACAACACTGTTGCCGGGAGACCCCTCACAGGTGCCCATGCACTGTTTCCTCGTGCTCGCTCACAGCGCAAGAGGTGGCTATGTTACTCTTAACTCATGTATAAGAGTAAAAATAATGCAGCAGGAGTACCATCAAGGGTAAGGAGCCGAGGCTCGTAAGCATATTCTGGTGGGCCTTTAAGACCTGGCGTAACATTTTTTACAGCATGACCAATGCGAGTCACCCTGAGGTAGTTGGGTACACGGAGCGCACCAACTCTTCTGCAGTATGTGCAGCTCGATGCTATCTCAAACTCAATTGTTTGGTTGGGCCTTCCACTTTGAATAAAGTGATATTGTAATTGAACAGCGCAAAGCGTGTATTCCTTAGTCTCTTGCATCCATGGTTTACACTAAAGCGCCCCTCTCCGATCCGGGCCAGGACCTGGTGGCCAGAGGTCTGCATCAAGCCCTAGCAGCAGAGAGACTCACAAAATATTGGATAGTGCACATTAAATTATGCAGAAAGCTCAAGTAAGACAGTCACAGGATCAAGATATGCAGTGGTCGGCTGTGTGTGTCTGGAGCCTGGAGATTTGGTGCTTGTGGAGCGGCAGGGTTCACGAGGTAGAAAAAGTTAATTAGACAAAAAGCTTGCTGCCAGGTGGCTAGGACCATTTGCTATGCTATGATAAACATTGCTTTTCCTTATTTTATTGATTCCCCCAGCACTTAGAGGTGCCACAGAACTGTCAATGTTGGCCTGCTAAAGAAGTTTCAAAACTCTAAAAGCCCCCAAATTATATGTGGACGTTGCTGTGCATAATGAACCTAAAGGCGGAGAATTCAGAGGGCAGCAGAAGCGCTGGATTCCAGAGGGATTGAGGGCCAGAGAGACATTACACTGGAGTGTAGCAATGTTTTGTAGGAGTAGCTGCGGGCTTCTCTGACTGTGAGGCAAATCGTGGCTCTGTTGTTAACTGTGCTAATATCCATGGCTAGTGCTCGTCGCATTTCATGGTAGCTGGCCGTTCCAAATACGCGGTATGTGCAAAAGGTATTTTACCTATGAGCATGGCTTAAAAAGCTGCCTTCAATTTTTTCTGTCGACAGTCAGATTGATGCGCAGATATTCTCAGGTATACTGCCTCTACATTTCTATTTATGGCTTATTCCGGGCTTGGAATTCAGCTATGCTCCATACGCCGGCTGTGTTTGCATGGAGAGATTGAACTGTGAGACGTGGATGCACTGATAAGATAATATGTTTTTTCTTGTCGTTTACCCACTCCATGTGTCTTTTGTATCCTCGCAGCGCGACGCCCACACATTTCAGAGCTCCCACGATCACAGGACACCACGCCGCCGCCCTTGTGTTGGTTTGGTCCTTCATCAGTTGTAGGTGAGGGTGTGTTGTTCTTCCCATCGATTTCTCTTCAGGGGTTGACGCAGACGTTTGCATTGCTCATTTGCACCGTTTTCGCTTTTCTGCCTGCCTGGGGAGTGATGATTGAGTGGAACAACTGCCGCTTTCTTTCATGTGGTTGAAGTACAGGTACGGAGCACGATGGCATGTGCTTGAAAACGGAGGGGGAGAGATATAGTGGGCTAAGCTACTCCCAAATACTTTCTACTAAATTAGTTCCATGCAACTAAGAACTAAGAATAACCTAATTGCGCAATAGCTGCTCGGATGTCTTATTTATTGCAAAGGACTTTAAGCGCGATACAAGAGGACCCAATATTGTGTGCGTGTGTGCCGTGGACGCGATGTGCAAGTGGGTGTGAATGCCCGGAGTGCTCGTGCAGCTGCAGCACACCTAATTTATTTCTCTCCCCTCGTATCAGGAACAGTAAGTGGTGCGAGCAAGGAAAAATAAAAGGGAGCTTTTTCGAGTTTGATGAGTTTCCTTTTAGTGTGTGCTGAATCTCGAGTTTAGTGTCTCCTACAGAGAGCTTCAATGGAAAGTTAGAAATTGCGTGGCCCCGTTATAGTGCACCTGATGAGCGCGGAAGAAGATATGCAGCTCATTACTATATTCCTTATGCGTTCTACCATTGAGCAAAATATTTCCATTCACGTGCTCCTAGGGTCCTGCCTCGTGGAATGCAGGTGCCTTTATTTCAAATTGCTTTGTCGACATGAGGAAATCTGCACCCGCAAGAGCGAAACAACATTACCCTTATTCCATTTGAAAGAATGTTCTACCTCTGTAACCGTATTTCATCTATTTTTTCCTGTCAGAGGGCGTACCAGTGCATGACCAAAGAAGGCTTTCAGGGTGTAACAGCAGTGGGCCACCTGCGGGCATGATAGCGGGGCGCTGCAGCAGCAGCGTTCTGCCGCACAGTGCTGAGGGATGAAGCATCCCTTCTGTTTCTGATGCCGAATCCTCTCAGGAGTAGTCTTTTACCGAATGGCTTAGTATTACAGAGAGACGCGTCCGCAAAATGTACTCGAAAATTGCCTGGGAGCACGTGGCCTTGGCATGCCTACCAGACTTGCCTCCCTGCAGGATGTACGTAGAAGGAGCCGCATCCTTTTATGCCAGTATAAACCATCTTCACACTACTCGCGCGAAATTAAGCCCTAGTTTCTAAAATATACATGAAACACCTATCAGACCGAATAACGATTTTAAAGTTGTTTACTCTGTACTCACGCCACAGAAAGAACATCTGGGCTCTTTCAGAGGCCAGGCAGATCCTACGACAGTTACGAGGAGTAGCTCGCACTGCGGACTCCTCCAGCAACAAACTTTGCTTCAAATTTCCGATACTCTGGCTTTCTTTCTTTATTTCATAGCTTCGACGATCTACCCATCGAACGAAAATGGCTCCTCTTGCCTTCATTTCTTTGGGTGCAGCATTCCTTCTGTTCTTGCAGGGATCTGCCGCCGTAGACGGAACCCAGAGCCTGACAGCAAGTATGTTGCCCTCTTCCTGTTAATTTACGCTCCACACGGTAAGGCACCACAATAAATGATCAGAAGTGCATTATGCGTATCTTGTTTCGTTCGCAGCGTCACTGGATTGCCAGTGTGCCATGAACTCTCCGAGTCGCTGCCGGATTAGCCGAGTTTACAGCCGCAACAGATGAAAAAGTCAAGCGGCTGCTCTCAGAATAACAAAAGTGTAATGCCACAGGTGAAAGCTACGCCCAATTCTGGAAAGCTGTCTCTGACAGTGTTACTCCGGTGAGGCAATATTTGCGGTCGATCTCGTGCTTGCACAGTCCTTGATATTTCAGTGAGGTTTATCCACAAGCGCTTTTCAAAACTATATTAAAAGTGTGCGCATATATTATCTGTGAGTTCAGACTGAGGCGAAAGAACAAGTAGCAGACAATGAGGATACTATCATTTGGACTGGCACCTACGCCTATTTCCCGTAAACGGGAGATCAAGCAGACTGCAGCTGTGCAGCTGACTACTGGAAGAGCGGCTATTTTCTACTTAACAACCAGGTGCCACCAAAGTACAGCGATGAGGATGGCGCAGTGTATCGAAATCCTCAGGCCGTTTTTTTTGTCGCCCTGTACAATCCCAACGATGCACCAACTGCCAGCTGCGCCCTTTTAAAGTGCCCTGTAGAGTCCACCACTGAATAAGCACAAGCAGCCCACAGCGATGCAAGTACTGAAGTGTCGAGCTCACAAGGCGATAGCGCATCCTCGCCTCGCGGGGCAGCTAGTGGACAGGAAGGCGAAGCAGCCGCAAGGAGATTGGAAGAAGCAACTGTGACTACGACTGTGGACGCCATTGTCTGTCTGACACACCCAGCCGCATTAAAGACGGTTCGACCTCCTTGACGTAAGTACAGGCTTGACTATCCCGGAAAGCTCCACCTGTTTGTTGCCGGCAGTGGCCTTCGATCTTACACTTCCCGGCTTGCTCTGCGCTGTTTCTTTCAACTTCGCATGCGTGCGTGTGTTATTTGTTTGGGCATGCAGACAGGAGCAATGGGATAAGATTTCCGTAGCAGTGAGCAGCTCGTCCGCGGGCAGCCCCACCGGCATCATGCTCTTTGCAGCAGCGGTCCTATCGGCTTTCCTTTTCTAAGCATTTCTTTACTTGATGCACAAAGAAGGTGTACGTACGCTACACTGCTCTAACAATTCCACATTGCTGCTCCTGCACTTTGCGGCGCAATGACAGGGGAGACATTTGAATGCACGGGGCTGGCTGATTTGAACTAAGGCGTCTCTATGCAGCCGGGGAACCAGCCTACGTGTAGCCACCTGATTAGCAGAGGGGGGGAGGGCCAAAGCCCGTGCCACCCTCACTCGCTCGCAGCGCCTCTGATGAGAACTTTGACTGATCTTGTGCACGAATAATTTACCAAGAGGTAGAGCAAATACAAGACAGTAGTGGAATGCCTTCTAGAAGGCGTAATTAGATAAGAATGGTGCAACAAATTTTTGGTGGTGTCTTCATGTTCGCCGTTTCATTCTTAGAGATAACGGTGTGGACATCGATCGGCCCCCTTGTGTGGCCGTATTTCAGCATCGCGTTTTGTACTTGGCCGTCCGGGCATGCGTGCTCTACTTTTACAGTTGATTCCAATATTTGTCTGGGCGAGGTAGCTCATCACTCCCTTGTGAAACTTGCGTTCAATAAGACTTGGCCATTGCAACTACCTGCTGGCCGAGCATATTAGTGGGTCGCCATGCTGCTGCTGCTGCGACTCAATCCGAGTTATGCGAAGCACCGCAGCACATGCATGCGGAGAGCATGTACTTTTCCACACCAAGTATTCATAGGTCCTTTGTCGCGGAGCGATGTGGCTCGTCGAGTTGGCAGCTGTCTAAATCGCATACACGATACATGATTGCATGTATATGCACACATATTTCTGCATGTAGGCAGTTGCCACGATGCACACTTCCCAACGGGGTTTACGTACAGGCCATTCTTCGGTTACATCCTCTGCTAGAGGGGGACCATTGCAGATAGCGAGCTTGGGTGCAGTCATTGTTTCAACTTCGGATCGGCGGCGCCTAGTCAACGCCGTACCTAGGGAACCGTGGATGCAGAACATGATGGGACCATATTTTCTACTCTTTACTCAGGCATGTAGTCTCGCTAGCCACCGTGTTCGTGTGCGGTGTGCTGCCAACATTGTTCTTAGGCCTACTGAGGGCTGTGCAGCTAAGCAACTCATCAGAAAGATGTACCGAAGCAAAGGAGGAGATAAAATGCCTATGGAAACAAAAGCGATAGATACAAATGCCTTCTTAATTAAAAAATGTTGGGAGACCTATTGCCAGCACATGGTGGCGTAGGTCAAAGTAGTAAAAGTACATGCGTGTGTCAACTACTTCGCGTTCTCCTGGGGAAAGGCCTCAACAGGCAGCAGGTCCCGCATGAGACTCATTTTCTCTTGGTCAGAGCTTAGAGATAGCCACTGCCTCTGGTGTATCAGCAACACCCCGAAGCCCATTCCCGCAAACAGCTCGTGACGGCTGCACAGAAGCACATTCGCACAAGAGGAGCGCTGGAAGTCTAACTGAGATCGTGCACTTTTGAGGGGATTCCATAAATCTACTAAGTGTACAGACACACTGCTACTTACACTAGCCACAAAACAACACCCAGCGGTGGAACGGATTCATTTTGCTGTGAGAGCAACAGGCATAGCAAGGGATGCGGGGGCACCCCCTTCAGTGTATATAAACGGAGTTAAAATGGCACAGGAAGGGAGTGCTTCAAAACAAATGATTGAATACAGGAGTAAGTAACACGGCAAACTACATCCACTCACAGTCTACTTAAAGTTGTGGGCGTCTGTGTGTTGGTATAGAGCTGATAGGCAGACACAGCTTCAATAACCGCTCGGGCATGCGGCAGGTAACAGTCTGCCTTCAAGGGGCCTGATACAGAGGGAGAGGCAAAAACCACCATAGCAAATCTAACATATACAATAGACCTATTCAGGGAACTGTAGCACCAAGGGGCCGGATAGGATTACCTTAAGCATCAGTAGCAGCAGAAGCAGCGGTTCAGCTCACCGGCACTCGCGGAGTTTATGTGCGGCACTTCCATGAGGTTCAGCACTCTGCTGATATCTCTATGCAGAGCACTACTAAATACAGCATGCGTGCACACTTCTTCTGTCTCTGTACCGTTGGCCTTTGTCAGCTCTGCCTCTCCTGCCTTGTCCTGAGGAGGGCCTCCTACCCCTGCGGGAGGCTCTAAGCGGCTCTGTGGCTTTGGCTCTGCTGGCGTATAGAAGCTTTCCGCCTCCATCGCCTCTCTGTAAGCCGGGCCTGGAGTTGGTTCGCAGACCTCGTCAGGTATAGAACGACGTGCCCAGACACCCCAAGACGGCGAGTCGCTTTGGGTGATTCCATCTGGTTCGCCCGTGTATTCCTCGTCATCACTAGAGTCGCTGAAGGCTGCGCACAGCGGCAGAAGACCACCAGCCATAGGCTTTTGAGTGTGCTCATCACATGTGACCTTAGCTCCTAATTGCCTGCCATAGACCCACTGGCAGTGCTGGCATTGCGAATGACTTCCAAGAAGTACTGGGTCTCAAGGTCCAGCTGTTCATACACCTCAGGCTTCTGCACCCTGAAGTGGCAGCAACAACAAAGTCACACACCAGGCGTTGAGCCCCCAGCTCAGCCCAGCCTAGAAGCAGGGACGGCGCTAATTGTCTCTATTCTGATGTCAACACAGACATCCAATAGACCAGCAGCGACATGATGAACAGAAGTGTATTTCTAGGACCTGAGATAGAGTTCCATCAGCTGCAGGTCTCTGGAGTGCCGCTGCAGCACATGCCGTTTCTGCTGCTTGGCTGCGCAGTTCAGAAAGTCGATGAGCATCGCTGAAGAAAAGAGCTCCACGCCAGTTCCCCACTTGACCGCTCGGCAGTTTATGGCTGTACGAAGGCGCACGCAGAGTCACGCATGTACGACATATGAAGACCTCCTTGAGATTCTTCTGCTCCAGTCACTCAGGGTAGTATAGCCACCGAACATGCCTGTCAACCCAACTCCCGCGAATGCCGTCGTTGAAGTAGATGAGGCTGCCCCCTAGGAAACCAGACACCCTAAGTGACCCGCCCTCACGCACCAGTGAACGTGGGAATACGCGCTGCCAAGACCAACTTAAGAGGAGTGACCGACATGTGGGCGGCGAGGTCTAGCTTGCTCAAGGCATTCGCGGCCTAGGACCAACCAGACAGAACCACAAAGTGTATACAAGTGTGTCTGCATGGTCCTCGGCTCGAACTCCAGCTCAACACCCCATCCCAGTGTGCAGCGTTTTATCGAGGGCACGCGGCGGCTTTCTTCGACGGGTGTCCCAGTCTCTGCTGCCTCGTCTCGGGGTGAGCTACTGCTCAGGCAGAGAGCCCTTTGAGCTCTAGAAGCTATGTATCGCCAACAATTCACCCCAAACCCTCGAAAATAAACTCGCCACGAACTTTGATCAAGAAATTATTGCGGAGGATGGCCCACGAAAGAATCATCTCCTGCAGCCCGATAAGGCAAATTCGGTGCTTTAACCGCAACCGGGCAAGGGCCTTCACACAAAGTCAAAGTCCAAAAAGTGAGGAAACTCGAGCTGCTGGCGGATGAACAGCGGATGTAAACCGACAAATCAAAACGCAAGCGACACAAATCACCGGAAAGCCGCACCACCAACGCCATAAGAAGCTGCGCAGTCTGCAAAAGTATCCGCATCACATCCACGGCACACCTACCTGGAAGAGATGTACATAGTTTTCCGGCCTCATTTCCGCTTGTTTCTTCACAATGGCCCTGCCACAGCACCAGAAAACCCCACGATCCGCGGGAAGCACGGTTTCGTTACGAGCCACAACGAAACCAAAAAATTCTCCCCGAACAGCATTCAAATGATGGCACCCACAAGACCCTTTACATGGGGTGTCCGCAACAGCGCACCTGGTGAAATCTTCAACATGCGTGGGCTGTAAGGGCAACTGGACTGCAGCAAAAGCCTGCAGCATCCTAAGAAGGGTGCGAGCTGTCACATTTCGGGAGTCTCTGCAGATCGCTGCAGCTCGCGCCTCTAGGGCCTTCCACACAGACAAATCTACAGCTTCGCCTGATACGCAGCACGAAAAAAGCGGCTGCAAAGGTGTTTGGCGCAGGCAAACAACGGCCTCCGTAGCCCATAACCTGAAGTGTACGAGGACTGAGGAATCACCCAGAGAGACAAGTGTCTCGCTGTTGCCTTGTGCCTCTGGCTCTTCCATGCACAGCAAACGCTTGGCGCCTTCCCTCTCCCCCTTCATCTTTCTTTTCCTCCTTTCCCAAAGGACCCTTTGAGTACGTGCCTGCTTGACCCCTACGCCTCTGGGTTTCTGCCGAGGCACGCTCTCCCACCTTCGCCTGTACCATCTCAGAAGCTCGAAACTTTAATGTCGTACCCGATCGAATCCTGTGGGCTTCTCTCATAAGAACAAACTTCAAGTCTCGAGCACCCAACGTACTGGCCGTAAAGACCGTCGGCGGCTCGTAGGGCCCCGAGTACCTGAGCGCAAAGCCCTTGAAGTCTGGTCGCGTCAGCTTCCCTAATACATGCAGTTGTAGCGAGGGAATGCTCGCGCTTCTATGTGGAACGCACCAGTATTCTTTGGGAGGGATATACCGCCGGCTTTTTGACATTGCCTGTTGCAAAAGCAGCTGTTTCTGCTGCTTCTCCAGCTGCTGCAGCTCCTGTTGCCTTCCTGAGGAGTCCAGGCAGTAAGAACAGGATTTCTGAAATTAGTTGCTGCCACTGAGAATCCACTCAGAAAGGGCTTCTACGACCCGTACACTCCATCGGCAGAACCCCTGCAGCGGCTGCAGAGGCTGCTGCAGGGAGTGTTGCACGTTTGTGTCAGATTCTTATAGGAGCATAAAGAAGTGTAAGGTATTCGCGCTGCAAAGATGTAGCAAGGAAAACAATAGGAACAGCTGTGCACTAACCGTCAAGGGCTCTATCTCGATCTCTGAAGAAGCGCTTAAAAAAGTCTCTCTCTGTCCCCTTGTAAGCTCCCAACAAGGCAAAACGGCTGGAAGTCTTCGAAATAGCAGGGGGGCCCCTGCAGCAAGGCCCACAAAGGATTCAGCAACACCCATTTTTGAAAACAAGAAAACACGGGGATACAATAAGTGCAATATGTGTGGGTGGGTGTAGAGCGTGTGAAGAATAGGGTGACGAAGCACTAGTTTGTCAAATAAAGACATCACGCCTTTTCCCCTCTGCTGTCCCTTCGTTTGCACCCATGTTTCTAGAGGCTATTCCTAGCGGCTTCCTAATCTCTCGTGAATAGGTCAACTGCTTCTATATGCCCTCTTGAAAAAGCGTCTTCCGCATTCTAGCCTTTCTTTCACACTCCCTATTTGCTTCTCCGCACTGCTGTCGAACGCTGCCCCTTCAACACCCACAGCTACGGCGTCTTGCCCTTATCCCTCGTTCGAGTTGCTCTTGCGGAAGCCTACTCGATGTCTTCTTTCTTCAGCGAAGGCACCGCGTCTGCCAGGGGCAGCAGTGCCGCCTGCTTCCACTGATGCTGCACACGCCACAAAGCGTCAGCAGCAGCAGCGAGAGGAGCGTCGATATCGCAACATGTAGCATGCAAGGAAAAGCCAGAATAGTCCCTATGCACGACCTTAAGAGGCTGGACTTGCTAGATGCCCGCTTAACTGCCTTACGGGTTTGCCCTCCGCAGGCTCTGCTGTGCGCGACTGCCGAGTAAAAGACGTCTCCCCATACTGCGCCAACACAAACAGCACAAAACACAGGTGCAACACAGCGGCCATCAAGAAGGAAATTTCAAGAGATCCCTCTCAAGTGCTGATGGGCAGCGCAAGAGGCTACTCGATTTTTCTGTTTGGCCAATCACCTCGTGCGGTTTCTTCTGCCTTTCTAGGAACCGAACTCCGGAGGTATCTCCGCCACGGGAAGCGCTTAGGCCCTCAAGATCCTGGACCTTAAGGCTGCCTCCCCCCGTTAAGGAGCGGTTTTCCGGAAAGCGAGGGATCTTAGGCCCCACTGCATCTCCTTCTTCGCGTAGGTAACGCCTGAGGCAGGAGCAACGGAGAGCCCTCTCTACGCCTTCGCACCTCAAACAGGCCTATCTCTGCTTCGAAGTTCGAATAGGCTTATGTGTGTTTTGAATCTGAAACGGGCTGATTTCTGCTTCTCGTGCATGCTGCATGGCCCTTAGGCCTTAAGGCTGCAGCAGCCGCTAGGTTTCCTTCTTAGACCTAGATCGTGAAGCGAGCAGCGTGCGGCGTCAAGCGGCTTACTGAGGGACCTTAGGAGGCTTCCAGTGCCGATGCTTCCTTTGCAGGTACTTTCTCCGGTCCTTCGTCGCAGCAGCAGCGGCAGCAGCAGCAAGCGTCCGCTGCTGCTGCACAGTAGCCTGCAGCAGCTGTTGCTGCCCAATCGAATGCATGAGAACGCCGGCAGGGCTCATGCGAATAGAGCAGAACATGGCCAGCTGGCAATGCAAGGGAATTCGACGTCCAGTCTCTGGCTTGAAGAGGCGCTGGCGTCGCATATTCAGGGGAGAGTTCCTCCCCCACGGAGTCTCCCAAGAATCTGCAGGGGCAACAAGGGGCCCTGCAGCTGTGTGATCGCCGCAGCGCGATCGTGGCAGCTGCCGCAGTGAATATCCGTGGGAAAGGCTGCGCTCCTGTGCTGGCAGTTGATCTCGAAGACGAAGAGGGTCCCTTCGATGTTGACCAGTAGTAAGCCGCCTGGGGGTTCCGTGAGGCCCCTGTCTTGCCAGAAGCAGAAAGCCACTCCAACGAGACTCCATGGGGTGGTGTCTGCACTCTTAGACAAGGACTAAATATGCTACGTTGTCTTGTGTTTGGAGCACCACCAGCTGGGCAAAAGGGATTGATGATGAGGGGCCCCTGAGAGCCTTCCGTGCAGAAGGCTCCCAGAACAAGGCTCTAGTGCAGTTGGGATAAAACACACAGATACAATAAATACTGGGGCCTCGGACTCTACGAAATTGATTTTCGCGCTCTTAATTAATTGAATCCGTCGAGCATCCATCCCCATGGGGCCTTGGAAGAAAGAGACTCCCGAGCACTAGCAGGCCTCTTGGAAGCACAGGGGGGAGAGGGGGCCTACCAGGCCCACAGGATTCTGTGTACACAGAAGAGGATAGATGCTAAATTCGGTATCTTCAATTGAGTCTCGGCTTGACTGTTCCTTCGAGCCAGCGAGAGAAGCTCGGGTTATGGCTGTGGTTCACCAGTCGGCTTCCACCGCTGGAAGCCGAAGAAGCAGAGTCCTTCCTAGCCTTGAGAGGGCACTACAATGAAACTTAGAACCTCAAACATGCTCGAGGAAGCGGAGAGGCTGTGTGCAGATGCACGAAGTTGAGATGCAGTTGCACTTCATATGTGGTAGAATAGCCTTGGTAGGCGTGCTAACGATAGGCGGGCATTAAACAGCAGCCAATGTCAAGACGAGACGGATAATGGCACCTAGGACGGTCGAGAAAGAGCTAGCTGCAAAGCATCCACTGGCGGCCTTTCCCTGGATGATGCAGCTAGACGAACGCATCACTCCGCAGCATGGCAGTATTCTCTGCAAGACCTGCAAGCCTTAACTCTGAATGACGAATGATCAAGAAGAGGCATACACGCACCTCCCGAAAGTAGTTTTTTCGTATATGGGATTCAGCCGTTGGCATTTGCTTATTCATTGTGAGGCGCTTATGTATTCATTTCCGCGAGTCCCCTTATGTCTCCTTAAAAGCGGCTCTTAAGCTACAGAGGTTGCCTTCTTGATTTTCGGATCTGCAGTCCAAGCGGTTTTGGGGAAATTTTTAGCCTATGGGTGCGGACTGTATCAAATGAAAAGCGGTGGGCGCCGCAGTTCTTTTCACAAGGGGGTACTAAAGGGCGCCTCTACCTGGGCTGCCCCCCATAGACAACTCCCTAGGCAGCGAAGCAGCACCTTTTGGTCTGGGGCACTAAGTGTGACGCTTCATCTAAGATTTATCTAATCGAGATTTTCAGCTTCAGACTCAATTCAAACTACATAGAAGGCTGTTGAATGTTTTCCAGTGGATCTCTGCCTTTCCTTGCCAGCGGCCTTCAGTGTTCCCCCATGAGGGGAGAGGGGTGGCTACGGAGCGCTTAGCTGCAAGCTAGCTGCACGTAGCACCTAGAAAACACGCACATATCAGTGCGCCTTTTGTATCGCGGTAATCGTACTCCGCGGCTAATAGGATGTTCGGACTGACAAACAAACTAGGCAATTTGCTAACAACTCTTGATTAAAGACATCTGTGTATTAGAAAGTGTTCGAGCAAGTCCTGTCCCGCTACATATTCCCCCTTATCCCAGATTTCCAAATATACGCCCTCGTGCTCCATACCCGTCGGTCGAGACCCACTGCGTGTAGTGCAGCGGAATAGCTCCCGCACCATCTCTACTCTCCAGGGAAGCAGAAGCCCCAACATTGGGCAAATCGAAAATTCACAGGTGTCCTCCAGCTGTTGAAGAGAAATTGAAGGGATGGCATAAACATCGGCCAGGAACAAACGAGGCACCAAGCCAACGCCACAGCGGCGGCATGATGGTTCGCTGCCTTTGGAGCGCTCAAATGTCCCGTTGCTAGAAAGCAGAGAGCAAGTACAATGTAAAAAGCAAAATACCCACCACTTGAGCAGTCCATTTGCTCCTCATGCAGCAGTGTGTGCTGGCGAATACAGCTGGTAAATGCAGCACAATCGAAGTCCAAGCCCATAGGTCCGTAAGCAAGAATCCAGCGACTACATACCTAAGAGTGCTTGCGCGTGAACCTGGTTGTACAGAGTACCTGAACACTACACTAGTAAGCGGATACATTATAATTATACTCAGGATTATGGATGCTATACGATGCAGAGCGTTCCTGGAGAAGGACAATTATCAGTTTACGCAAGGATAACCTGCCAGAGCGAATGGCGTTATCAAAAAAACTGCAAGACCTGCAGGCAACCAAGCCCTCAACTGTTCCACTGTTGATCACTAAGGTTAAAGGTTTGCCACCGCATTTTACGAGAACCTGTTGTCCTGTGTCTAGTTGGACCTCAAGTTTCCTGGGATACAGCACTGCTACGGCCCCCCTGTGGATCCCCCCTCTCCACACGGGTCACTTGTCTGCGAGGCGAACACTACGGCTGATTTAAGGAGCTTTACGATCTTGCTGGGAAGTCATTACTGGTAGCTATCTGTCACATCCAGCTTGTAGGGAAATCGATGCAGCAAGCACCAGCACTTTTTCGTTAGAGGATGGCAGATGGTCGTACCCATCTGGCTACAAATCATCTCGTCAGATCGTTTTGGTGTACCTCGTATTGCTTGCCGACTCATCAGGACCAAACATTCAGGCTCAAAACACAGCTGACCATTGCTGGTCACAAGTTCGCGTTTTTCCGTCTAATGAGTTGCGCATATGTTCGCTTGCGCTAGCCAGACCTTGAAGACCTGTGGAGCTATGAGTGGCTGCTGATCTCGGACCACCACGTCCAGGGGACGATCGGACGGAAGCTGTTTAGTGCAGACCAGAATTGCAGGGGTGTAACGGGTGCACGAGTTCACTGTTGTATTATAAACCCACATAACAATTTTTAATCACTAGTATAATCCTGTATCTGCACAGAATTGGTCCGAGACAGGTCCCTACTTGCAACCCTCCCTCTGTGGTTACTGCAGCCTGCTTGGAAGGAATAATTAGGAACTGCAAGCGCCCTTGAAACCCCCAAAGATTTTCCGTCGTCAAAGTGCATTTGCTTTTTGAAGGTGCTTGCACTTCATTATTATATGGCTCCAGTTCCCATAATAGAACCAGATGCGTTGTTGGAGCGGCGCCTGTGTTTCACGAGCGAGGGTTACCATTGGCATTATTTTCTGTCCGAAGGATGTAGATTAGGGAAGCCTGACAGAGCCCTGATATCCACAGGCTCTAAATCCGCAGTTCTTTCTATCAAGCCAAAGACACCCGAGAAACCCTAGTCTTCTGAAACAAGTAGTGCATTATTTGTGGTACTCCTGCCGGTTGTCTGCCTGATTGCTAAGTCGCTGCCCATCTTACGACTGCATGACGGGACACTTCGAAAAGATCTGGGATAGACCACTGTTGAGGCAATTGTTAGCCTATGTTGTGGCTTCTGCACACCAAAAGCCTAATTCTTCTCAAGACGCCCAGCCACTGATAGTTTCTCCTACTGCAGCCTTCTCCATTCTCCTTCAGCTTGTTGTTGAGGTGTCCCCAGCATACACAGATCAACCAGGCCGCGTCTAGAGTCACATAATGCAGTAATCCTCTTAGGCACGAGACTGCCTTTACGATAAATAAGGCCACCCTTCGTGGGCGTATCCTTGTTATATACATCCCGCAACAAGCACTCGTTTCTCCTTATCTGTAGGGTACAAAGTGCGCAACAGAATAAGAGGTTCAATTACTTGTCCACCCTTCTGGCTATCGTACATTTTGGCCAGCATGAGCCTCATGGATGCCTCCATAAACATTCTATCGGCTATCAAATAATGGCTCTGTACCAGCTGTTGAGTAGCCCTTGATTCTGCATCCACATCTACCACCAAAGGATGCTTTTGCAACATACTGCCAAAGAAAGCTAGAGTAAAGAATTGCAAAATAGCTTGGTCAACGCCGTACATCTACTCTAGGAGGAGCTGCCATCTCATTGCATCAATAGCCACTGGATGGGCGGGGGAAAACTGCATGGAACCATGCGGTGAGACATACTGTAACTTCTCATCTATGGCCTTTGTGAGGAGATACTTAACTGTACACTCAGTACAAACTTATTGAAACATGACAATGCTTCTCAGAAGTCATCCTACTTTCCCTGTCAGTGCCCCTGGGAATTCCCGACATGCTTAGAGGGGGCCAGCCATGGTGTGCGTAGGTGCGCCCTCCACGCACCCCAAAGATTCACAGCTAGTTGCTTATAGCATCAGCGCACACGCAGGTAAGTGTGCGCCCACTTGTATGGGGCTAACAACATTCTGCAATATGTAAGATATTCGAACCTAAAACCATTTAGTCGATTCCTTAGTGTTCTCTAGTTAGTAGAATTTGGCATAAGCGAGAAAAGTGTGAGTGTAGCTGAGCCCGTTACATACCAGGTGCAACCTGTAGGCAAGATCATCTAGTTATGGCTACCTGTGGTTCCTTGTGGCTAGTTGCTGCATTTCTGTTCTTATACTGCGTTGAATTCGTTTCTGGTCTGCTCGCAGACCCGACGATTTCGCTTCCGCTTGCACAGATCTTACGCGACATGCAGCGCACCGCTGCCAAGGGCAATGGCTTTTATGTCTTTGAGCTCATTGTTATAGAGCATCCACGGGAACGAAAACAGCTGCTGCTGCTGCAGACTCTGATGCTTGAGTAGATGCTGCCTCGGGCTGCATGCGTCCTCTGGTCCTCTAATCCCCGTGTGTAATACTCGGCTTTGCTCTTCCGAGAAGCGGCCACTGCCTTCTGCCTCTTTGGATGACGGGGTCTTCTCTTGCCAGGGGCTTCTTTGTTCGGGGTGCTGCAAGAGTTGAGCATTGGGCGCTTCTTGAAGTGACATTGAAGGTCTTCGTCCTTCTGCAGTTGTGCGTACGCTGTCTAGACTGTTGGTCCTGCTCTCAGCTGCTGTGATGCTGCTGCTTGCTGTTGTGCTCCTGGTGTCTGCTGTTGTGCTACTGCTGTCTGCTGTCGCGGTGCTGTTGTTTTTTGTCATAAGGGGAGACAGAGGCTGAGTATCTGCAATTAAGATGCCTAAAGCTTCGAAAGCACGTATTTCTTCACTGCTTAATGGAGGAGACCCCTCGGTATCCGCCTCCGATGACCTAGGAGGCGCTGTGAAGCGGGATTTCTTCAAAGGTTTTTTCCGCAGGGCCACGAAGGCCTCGAGTTTTTCTTGAGGGACGTACGAGAGGTAGTAGGCAGTAACAGCGACGATGCGTTTCTGCTCGTAGTTGAGATCCAGGCCAAAGAAACGGCGGGGAATGAAGGAGCAGCAGAGGCCGCTAATGCTCAGTAACATCTAGTGAGGCACAACGCAGCAGAAAGACACCAGCATACCAGCAATCAGTTCTTGAAAGCGCTATATGAGCGAAGAAAGAGTGAAGGTTTGAAGCAGCCAAGCAAGACCAGGCTCTGAAACCGATGCGGCACAGAAATTCTCCATGAGGCATGAAGAAGCTCTTGGTACAGATCCCCCAAAGCAGTGAGAAGGGCAAAGGACAGAGCCTCAGCAATTGAATTTCTACTTGAGCATTTTTGAGTTTCTTGCCTTGAGTGGCCAGCTCTCCATGTGACCCAACGAAACCACAGCCTCAGGATCTATTTGACCTGAGAGGAGGGAAGCCTCGTCTCGCACTCCAAACCGAAACATCAGATGCCGCACGGCCCTATCCCACGCGAGCTTTAGACTTGCTACTTCTGTTATAAACTCCAGCAGCCGGTCGGGGCAGTAAGAGAGCAGGTCTAGGTCTAAGGACACTGCCTGTGGTTCCGTGCAGGGGTTCGCATACAGACTCCCGTATGAGTTTCCGGGGAGTGCTCCGTAGAGGCCTTCTAGCGTGCTAATGGGTAGCGGCAAAGCTCCATGGTAGAGCTCTTCAAGCAGTGCGATTAAGTCTCTTTGTGTGTTGACGCCCCTTCTGCGTAAGTGCCAGGAAGGAAGCTTAGACAATGGAAGTGACGCCAAGTTGTGTGGTTCTGGTGCACTAAAACGCCGTGTGGACGCCTCCTCATCGCCCTCTGCCGTTGGACAAGGGCTCTTAGGTGTCGCCTTCATGGCTGCAAATGCACAGGGGTGCCAAAGCATAGCGTTTTGACAGGGTAGCCCTGTTGCATCGTTTAGTGCTGTTGCTCTGCAGATACAGCCACGGATAGATACAGAAAGTTCAGCCAGTCCAGCAACTCTAGCAGGCTCACCTGCATTCAGAACCTCCCGTTGCTCTTTAGCCTGCTTCCGTACAGCCCAGTGCACTCCTGGCCAGAAGGGACTTAGCTTTGCTTCAACAGGCAGCGGAGGCCGGTAGAGAGTCACCTCTTGAGGAAATCCGATCCCCTTTGAATGGAATCGCAAGAAGGATGAGGCACCCCAGGAGCTGCTAAACACAAGAGTAGCTTTGTCTAAAGAGAAGACACGCAAACGCACAGAACATGCACGCCATAGCAGTGAGCAGGCGCATACGACCAACTCGCCCAGCATACCTGGCTAGCTAGTTAGCCCTCAACCGAAATGAATAAGAAGGCCGGGGGCGTTACTTTGCAATTCAATGCAGATTTTGTTGGACTAGGCTATGACTGGACTTCTTTAGAAATTCTTACTGGGCCCTCGTATCAGGTAAGGGGTGGATAGAGACACAAGCAAAGGGGCAAGCCTGATATGCTTGAGTCGCTGGCAAGGAGCAACCTTTGGAGTCTTTTTAGCGTCTCGAGGAGTCCACTACCTACACTTGCTGGTGGGGATTATGTCTTTTGGCTGTGCGGCCTCTTGGAGAGCAACGCTTTCCGTTGCCTGCCGCAACAATCGAGAAGCAACCACGTGCGAGGTAAGCTCTTGCCGTTCCTGTTGCTCCAGCCATTGTTCGGAAAGCTGCACGTGCAGATGTTTCCGCTCCTTCCAGTGATGTTGCATGAGTGTCTTGACACCTGGCACATCCATGGCGCCTTCGCCGAACGTTGAGCTCTTCTGCAAGGCTTTGAATAGGGGCTCTTCGAAGCAATCAGTAACCTGCTGGGGTATTTGAATCCTGAGACCTAGGACTTGAAAAAGCTTCATTCCTTTGAAGCCCGGAGTCCAGCTTGTTGGCAACTTGGCTAGCAGATCGTCCAGAAGGAGAAGAAGGCAAAGCCCGGTGAGGGGGCGCTGAGACACAGCAACGTAAAACCTTCAAAGATGGCTGAAAAGCTCCCAGCAATGCGACCCGCGGAAGGACTTAAAAGCCGGGTTCCCTTAAGGCAGTCGCCCTGTTTTTTTTCAGCACGTGGAAAACAAGAGAGGAAACGCTTTCTTAGGTGCATCTGCAAATGCGGGTACGCAGCAGGGGCAACAATGTGTTTCCTAGCGTCCAAGGGTCCCTTGTGACTCCTCACGTCCAACACAACAAAGAGCTTTGCGTTTTTTCTTAGAGACCCTTCCCCCCTGTACACAGCTGCAACGGGAGGGGAAGAGACGTCTAGGCGGGGGCGCAAGTGCGGACATAGCTGCAAGGCCTTCGCTTGCTGGCTTGTTACTGCTGCGTTCACCAAACGCGTGAGCTGTTCTAGCAGCCGATCGGCTGAGATCATTTCACTCGTTTGCAGCGCTTGTTTGTCATCGCCGCTTTTGTGGCTAGGGTTGCTTCCCAAGAGCGGACCAACGGAAATGCACCGCAGCAGAAACAGCTCACGCGGCAGCTCAGGCAGCCAGGAAACATCCCGCCAGTCTTCCCAGGTCACTCCGTCAGGAGTGCGCGAGAGCAGAACCAGGGGCTCCTCTCTGTCTTCTCCGGAGGGAATCGCGCAGCAATCCGACCCAGTGCCTCTATGAAAGAGAAAAGATAATAGTTGCGCTGCGAGGGGGCTGTCTGAGCCAAGTTCTCCGAGGTAGATTGGGGAAGTCTTGCCGCTGTTGCTGCTGTTGTCGGAGAGCACAGTCAACCTCTGTAGCAGAGCTGAGGGAGGAAGCGAGAACGGTACAAGGGCCCCCAGGTGGTGGTTGATGGCGCTCTTGAGGGCCTGCACGGAGAAAAGGCCGGTTCGCCCTCCTGTGTCTCAGGATTCAGCAAACAAAAGCAGCCACAGGAGCGCGCTCCGCAGGGCAGCGGGTGCACATGCAGCTGCCGCAGCAGCGAGCACTGCAGGAGCACCCGTTAGCTGAGATTGGAAAATTCTCAGTGGCTTTTCCATTCCGTCACGGCCTCATTATTCCCTTACCTGCAGGTCCTCGACAGCTTTAGAGCAATGAACATACACCGCGTGCTGGTCGCCCCCCCAAAGAGGAGGCGAGGGAAGGACACACGCTGCTCCAAAGGCTGCGGGGCTTACAAGGACCTCTCCGGAGCAAGCCTCCACGTACTCCACAGCGACTGCAGCACAGTATAAATACGGGAAGAACGCCTTCGTTGTGCAGTGTATGAAGGCCAAGCCAGCAGGACGAGCAGACGTCCATCCACCCATAAGCAGCTGTAGCTGACAAAAAATAGCAAGGCTAGATAGAGAGGCCAGCCTCGAGCGCAAGCTCCCAGAGCTGCTGCATTTTTGCATACGGACAAGCAACGGTCTAGTTGTAGACACCACTCCAGCAGCTAGAGTGCTGGCGTTACAGGGCAAGGACGTGCCTCCAAGAGTTAGTTGCGTCACCGCAGCAACGGCATCGCCAACAGGGAGACCGAGGGAGCAGCTGAGGGAGCAATAGAGCAGCGGATAAGGAATCGAATCCCCAACGCTCGCCTCCTGATGCACCAAGATGCACTCGACGCGGCGAGACTGCAAGGCTCCCGGGGCGCTGGCTGGAACGCGAAGACAGCAGGCACCAGGAGGCCCCCTTGCAGGTGCTAGGCTGCAGCTGCTGCTGTAGAGCACGCATGCACGCACGCACGTATGCACGAAACGCAGCGCAGCAAAGCGCTTTAGAGCTCCAGTAAAGCTTTTGGCCAGAGGTGAAACGACGCAACACACCAAGTAGGTGAGGACGATGGAAGTACGAGCCAGGAGAAGCAGCTAGGTGTCAGCTGATGCGGCAGCCTTCTTACCGTTGCGCGCAGACAAGGCAGTTAGGAAATGAGAAGCGGAGAGCTGTAAGGGTGCCGCCAGGAGCTCCACGATGCGCATAATCGGGGGGAGAAGGCCCCCCAATAAGGAGAGAGGCTGGAAGCTCTACGTCAGCCAGAAGCATGTGAACCCGGCCGTCACCAGCGCAGAGGCGCTGTGCCTCCTCCTTGTACTGCACGCCACCCCACGTGACTTTAACCCGCAAGGGGGCGAATAGGCGTGGATCGGAGTTGCCTGCACAACAGAGCGAGACAGCACCGCCGTTTGCTGCAAAACCCCGTCTTCGCAGAAAAAAGCGGGAGTAGCTGCACTAGTCGCAACACTTTGCAGCGCTTTTTTTGCTCGAGGCAGCAACCCTAGGTACGTAAGGAATCCACATGCGAATGCCTCTCCTGTCTTTACTGATTGGATTTTTGTCGCCGACGCGAGCCCGTCTGTATAGCAAGATATCAGCGGGTCTGTCTTTGATCGAGGCATCAGAGGCTTACCCGACAGTGCCCTGGGAGTCAGATAGGAAGGCGTTGCTAGTAGAGCATGTGGCAGGACGCGGTCGTACAGGCTTCCAAGGAGACTTCTTGAAGCAATAACTCTAGATGCTATCTCCCCTGGAAACCCCGCGAAGTCCGCATGTCGCTTTTCGGGCCTCACTAAGAAGTGGGGCATTAACACGCAGCGCAGACGCTTTTTCAGTACAACCTTTTTTCCCGTTTTGGGGGCATCTACTGCAGCAGCGGCGAGGTCAGCAAGAGCCAGAGACAACCGGTTGAAGCCCTTGGCCTTCAAGGGGTTCTCCTCGTAGTAGGCATTAGGGGAGTGGCACAAGCGCAAGTGCGTATTCGAAATGACGCCCAGTTGACACAGGCCTTGGACGCGTAGCAGAAACCGCGTGAGCTTTTCAATGTCTTGCCGCTCTGTCGGTCCTGTACCCAAGAGGCCCACCCTCTTGCGCGTAGGTTCGTCTTCTTCACGTTTGCCTTTCCTGTGCAGTACTATGTCTGCGTCCTGCGGAGCGTCTGTCCTCTGCTTATGGGTGTTATTGCCTTCAGCCGACTCCGTTTCCCCCAATAGTGAGTTCCCCGCCGCATTCCCTTTCTTTGCCTGCTGTGCTTCCACCTTCACGTAGGCCTCTCTGCGTGACTCCTCTGAGGCTGCCTCATGTTTCTCCTGGGACCTTGTAAGTGAGGCTGTTGCGGGTATTGACGCTTGCCAGCCACCAGTCTGCCGGTGTTCCTCCTGTCTACCGTTTGCTGTAGCCTTGGTGCAGCTACTTGCTGCTGCATCACTCGTGTCGCTATACACCTCCGTCTCACTGCCGGTCCTGCTGCTGCCGCTGCTCCTGCTGCCGCTAGACAGGGCATCGTCGCAGGTGACAGGCCCAGTGAGCTGGCCGCTGGTGCTCACAAACCCCTGTGGCTCTTCAGGGTGGGCATTGATGGCTGGCTCATGCACAGAGGAGGGGGGGGCAGCAAGGCCCCTTTTCCAGTTCTCCAGCAGCGGTTGCACGATCGAAGGCTCCCAAATGATCCAGTATCTGTCGCCGTCCAAGTCTCCTCCAGACAGCATGTTGGGAATATCCCGAAAACAGTACTGGAGGCCTGGCCCTTGGTTGCTGCATTTTGTCAAGGGCAACAGGAAAACAAACAAGGGACGGGGCGAAGGGTGATATGTGGAGGCGAGGGTGCACTGTGACTGCCTATGCTTTTGAGTCGTGTTGTCACGCGCGCTTCCTAGATGATGACAACAATGATAATGGCTTGATCGTGTGCGTGCTGCAGTTCATGAGCCGCTGCATCAGGCTCTCTCAGGTCTGGGAACAAGCAAAGACGCTCACCGGAAAACTGCTGGATGACGGGAATCAACAGGGGGCCAGATCCCATCTGCACTTTCCGTGTATGAGCCAAGCGGAGGGGAGGGGAACACCACGAGATCTCTAAAGGCGAAGCATGGAGGATCTGGATCCTCTGTTGTTGGCTCGCGCTCAAATGGGGCCCTTAGAGGAGAATCTGGAGGCAGGTCTTCGGGGCCAACCTGCAAAGCAAGCGTCAAACTCCACAGGCACTGCTCCAGACCAAATAGCAGAGCCATACGACAAGGGTTGAGCAGCCTCGAGGATGCACCGCCACACGGCACGCAGCCTTCTCCTTGGCGTACCGCATAGCAGAGCTGTAAGTCCCCCGGATGCAGGCAAGGAGACTTAATAATCGCAACAACGCCTGAAAGAACTTCAGAAGTGGGGGCTACGCTGCTGGCTGATGAGACCCATGGGACCGCTTTGGCTACTTTCAGTGCTGGCAATACTGGGGTGTCAAGGGAACTGCTGCCGCTGCCAGCTGCTGCTGCTTCACTCCAGCCCCCACAAAGCTCCCAGGGTGGGAGGGCTGGCTTCGTCAGGTGCACGAACACCTCAGGTAAGCCAGAACATCCATGGCTAACTCTGCATTGCCGCCGCCAGCCGTGATCATACAGCAGGGTATGGGTTGGGTCCGCTACTCCAAAGAGGTAGGCCCCTTTCTGGTGGCACAGGAAGCAAATCACAAAGCTGTAGAAAAGGTGCACAAAGCAGCCTTTGTGTCACCTATCTAGCATTAATGCAAATAAGAGGCGTTCGAAGAAGGTTTCTGGCATAGCGGGGGTGTATGAGGCTCCGACAGAGTCTCGAAACGGCTTTGGCCAAGCTGTGCGGCTTTCGAATACTTTATGCCTCCTCAGACTTGCCTCGACAAATATGCGGGCCTTCTGTTTCAGTAGGCGGAGATGCTGCATCTCCGTTGCTGCCACTACACCCTTCAAGAAGGGCTCCTTGAGGCTGAAGGAGCAACTTTGCAGCAATTCATAGACGATCCGAGTTGCAGGGCCGCGGGTATCCTGGTCCGTCTCCGCGCAGTGCAGCAAGGTTAGCAGCGAGGATCCTGTCACACAGAAGCACTTTTGCAAAAACTTGAATTCAAAAGATCCTTGAGCTTTTCTCTGAAGTAATCCAAGCCAAGGGAGCGTGGGCCTGTCGGTGGAGTGCAGCGAACGAAAAATGCGCGCAGGCGCGCACCTGCTGTGCACGCAGAAGAATGTATATGCTAGAAGGCTTAGAGAGCTTACGGCCTGAGCTTCCAGTACTCAAAAGATTCAGCATTTTCTGCTGTAAGGCTTCAAAGACCCGGAAGGGGACGCGTTGAGAATCAAGCACCAGGATAACCTGTACGGCAGGAAATGCTACATCTTGCATGCCTGACTGTGGTAAATTCTCTCTCGTTACAGGAAAAGGCAAAGGCACAAGGGGAAGAACAAAGCAAGCGAAGGCAGCGGTCTGCTAAAGCCCTGTTGTCTACTGGGATGGGTGTGTATTGTACACCCTGTGACGCACCTGGTGGTTCAGAAACGCGGCAAGTCTGCGAGAGGAGTCATTAACTTCCAGTTTCTGTGAATACGCAAGCAAAGCGACACCTCGAGTGATGCAAGGGTCTCTCTGTGCGAGGAAAAACCCAAGCTAGGATTCCTGAAAAGGTCGACTCCGGGTGCCTTCGGGCCAGCCGCTTAGGTGCTGCCACAGATGTGGGAAAACAGCGACTATATTCGGTAAAAGGGCTCACCAGGATTGGGCAGTCAAACTTCAGCATGGAGTGGTGCGCAATGATGTCATGACCCTTCTCTAGCAAGCTCTCTGGGAAGCACGGGTGAAGTGCCAACATCCCTTTAAAGCCCCCCAGTCGCATCTGCACGGCGCTGCATCTCCTGTACTGGGGGTATGCAGTGGCAAGGCGATGCCAAAACCGGGCTGACATGAATCCGCATCCGTCTGCAGCAGAAACGCCGATTGCATCAGAAATTTCGTGAACAGGGTTTCAGAAGAAGATGTGGCGTTCAGGTTGTTTGGGGGCGTTCGTCTCATTTGAAGCAAGAAAAGAATTCTCAGCCTTTCGATGTGAGATGGATATCCGGAGTTCGTTTGCTGTCTACTGGCACTGCTTACCCGTAAAGCAGAAAACTTGGTCTTTCCTTGGACTGTATTGTGTAGGCTGAAAGGCTCTGTCGACGGAGGCGGAGGTAATGTCGGGCTGTACGTTGATGGCCTCCTTCGTAACGCTCAAGGTGGGAGTTGTGCTGCTCACGCAGATTCCAAACTGCCTTCCAAAAAGCCCGGGGGTTGAGCAGCTCAGAGATCCCAGCGCCCGTAGGATGTCCGCTCGCCTTATGGAGGCTGCTGCGCATCAGACAATGATATTCCTGTTTGCATATTTGCTGCTCGAGGATGCGAAGAGACCGCGGAGTGTAAGTAGTCTAAAGCAAAGGCTCGACAAACTGGCAATCTCTGCATCCGGGCGTTGTCAAAACGCAAAGGCGCACAGAAAGAACGTCCCTCCATGTCTCTCTTCAGTCAATTGAGGAGAGTCTTAAATTCGAAATTACAGTTTAGTGTCGAGGCTGACCGGCGGCGTTAAGCGCCCAGTAACCGCCTTTTCTGAGTTGCGCGAGAGAGACACCAAGAAGCACGAATCGGAGGTGCCCCACGGAGATTCCTCTGACAATACGGCCACCAAGACATCTTCTGACGAGTCGGCAGGAGGTCTGCAGATGCCCCTGAGACGCAAGTGCGCAACGGAAAGCACAAAATGCAAAACGTCTGCCGACGCTTGGTTCAGGATGCTGATGTCGAATGGCCCACGAGTGCGGCTCCCTGCATTGCACGGTCCCTGCGTTGGCAAGCGTGCAGTGGGATACATCGGCAACAGCAGTATAGCGGGAAAACCTGCCACGCTTTTGCCGTAAAGTTTAGATCCAGTTTCCTCGGCAATAGTTACGCGGACGAAGGCGCCTCCAGCGGCGAAGGACGCAAAAAGGCGCGTCAGCCTATTTGTCCTTTCAACGAAGGGCCCCCTGCAAATGACTCTCAAAGGCGTCAATTGAAGGTGCACGATCTCACTGCTGCCTTGAGGGCAGCAGAGGGGCTGTAGAAAGAGGGACCTGCGCCAAACCATCGCAGAGACACTGTTGCAGCCCGTCAACTCGGTTCCGCATGCTCTCTGGAGTGTTGGTCCTGCTGCGGTTGGTGCTTCTACACACTTGAGGGGTTTCCAAATCCCATGATCGGGAAACCTATATCAAGTCCGACGCTTCTACCCACGTCATGAAATGCGCGTGCGATTGCAGAGGGAAAACATACTCTTTTTGCTGCAGCAGGGCGTGCAGCCGATCACATGGAGGGAAAGCAAAAATCGGCTCCTGCTGCATCATAATCTCCTCGGCTAAGATCTTAAGGACCTCTCTCAGGACGTTTGCATCTTGTTGAGGGTCCGCTAGGACGGCAGCCAAAGGCAAAAGGGCCGTCGACACCCCTTCCGAAGGTATATCCAGGGTGCAGGGAATATGCGGGAGACTTGAATAGGAGATCTCAAATAGGGCCGGCGGGGGGAGGCCCCCAAAAGAAAGCAGCTGCTGCATTTCTGCCCATAGAAGCCACGCAGCAGGAGAGGGTAAGCTCGAAAGCGCAGCTTTAGCGGCATCGTTCGTTTCTTCCTTGGGTGCTTCCTCCTGAGGAGTCAATACGGATCCTGCTGGTGGCGCACTTCCCCCAGCATTTCTAGGCGCTGCCAGTGCAGCAGCCGATTTAGAATCGATCAAGGTATTGAAAGAGGCAGCGGCAGCAGCCGCAGGACAGTTGCTGCATCCTTTCGATTGGGAGCTCTTTTGGTGAACGCTGCTAGGCAGCGTAGCCACAAATGGGAGGTCCTTAAGGCGTGAGAGGTCTCTGTAGAGGACTGCTTCGGATATGCAGCACATATGCCTCTCCCTCTCTCGGGGTTCCTGAGTTATATAAACGCGAGAGGGCATCCCTTTCCCACCCTCAGTACCGATGAGGAGGCCATGCCTTCGTAGCTCCGTCACCCAGAATTCTTCTCCCCGGCTGTTGGCTGCTCCTTCGCACGCTGCTGGACAGGGCGGGAGTTGCACCAACAGATCCCTGCAGTCCCCTAGTCTTTGCAACAAAGCAGACTGCAGAGCGCTTCTCCCCGTCGCCCCTACCCCCCATCGGTGACACCGCAGAGGGGCCATGAGGTCGCCCTCCCCCCCGAGCAGCAACGCAGCGACTGCACTTGCTGCCTCCTCCTCAGCGCTGTCCACCACCAGCCGCTCGCGAGGGCCTTCTGGGGCATCGGGAGCTCTAATCATGGAGCCTGCACTGTCGCTGTCGTTCGCCACCGTCTTGTACACCGTAACGCGGGGTGCATGCTCTGGACAAAAGAGCAAGAGCTGTCCGCGTTTGCTGTCGCCGCTGTGTTTGGTGTCGCACGCATCTGTCACAATATCCGAGTCTTCCAGGATAAACACTCTACTCGCGAGCGACCGAAGAGGGTATTCTAATAGAATGGCGTATCCCTCTTCAGCCCATGCAATTCGCAGTTGCTGGTCGTCCCCCAAACGCCACCCCAAAAAGATCTTGGGCGCCAATGCAAAAGCATCGCCTGTAGCCGCTGGAGTTTGGGGTGCTGCAGTTGTTGCTGCAGGTGCTGCTGCGGCTGCTTCGAAGGCCACAGAGCTGCACCTTCCGCACCTTCGCCAGGCATGCCCAATCATAAGGGGGCCTCCCTCCTGCAGTAGAAGAGGGCCCTTCTGCCAGAATGACTGTGAGGGCTGCAACGAGCAGGGCAGGCCCCTAAACACTTGCGGCGGAGCGTGAACTGCCGCCCTTGAAGCGGCCAGATCCTTGTACCACAGCATGCCTTTTCCACCTAAAGAAGACCAGCGTCTGCCTCGGCCCCCCCTTGAGAAGCCTGCCACTTGGCCATCACTGTTTCTTCGGACCTCCTCTGAGAGGATTCGGGGTGCTAAAACGCAGCGCAAAGGGCCGAAAGGGCAGAAGGCCGCTCTCAGATCGGCGGCAGTGACTGAGCTGTGAAGACACTCGACAAGCAACGGGGGTGGAGGGAAGCAGCTGCAGCAGCAGGAGGCTATGGGTGCCTCCGAATTTTCCGCGGCTTCCTGTGAAGGCGAAAGGAACCTCGGGGGTACTGAGCCAAGCGGGGCAGAGAAAGGCGCCCGGCACTTTGTCGATGCTGTCCTTCCATCAATTGCCGGTTCTGTTGTTGCTGGCGCTGCTGGAGGTTCTCCTACTGCTGGAGGTTCTCCTACTGCTGGAGGTTCTCCTACTGCTGGAGGTTCTCCTGCTGCTGGAGGTTCTCCTGCTGCTGGAGGTTCTCCTGCTGCAGCGGTTGCATTTGCTGTATCTGGAAAGTTGATTTCTAGGGAAAAGTCAGCGCAGGGACTATCGGGTAGCCGTTTCAGAGAAGAAGACACGTGGGCCCCTGCATTGGTAGCAGACGTCGCTTTTGCCGCTTGTGCCTCTTCAGCCTCGCATTGCATCGGCAGCTGCTGGTGTACAAGGTGTTGCTGTAGACTCGAGGAGCGGGGGACCGCATGGAGAACGGTCCAATCGGCTCTTGCTCCCGCCGTAGCCAAGGCCGTTGGGGTTACCGTTCCGTGCATTCTGACGCGCTTCGTTGAAAGTGTAGGCAAGAGGAGACGGTGAGACAGGCACTTAAGAAGCCAAAAGTCTCTCGAGGCCCCAGCGACTTCTGTAGGGCAATCTTTTGGCGTATCGTCTCCCTCAAATACCCGATTGTGCAGAAAAAAGCCGCCTGGGAAGGTTGGGGAGAGGAAGAGAGAGAAAGACAGAGCAAGGCCAAACTGTTCAGGCATGCGAAGGGGAGCCAAAAAATGAGCCTAAGAAATAGGGCCTCTTTATTAGAGTGCCTTTGGCCCTCTTAAGCCTGCTGAAGCTTGGGTCGGGATTCCGACAGCCAACGACTGGGAGTCGAGGTGACGCGAAGGAGGAAGGCAACTGGGGTGTATGAGGGGTCCACGAGAGCTCGATGCAATGGAAACACTGAGCCACGTGGGCCATCAGACGTTTGCAGGCTTATTTCAGCAGAGAAAACAAAAGAAGATCACTGAAGAGATTGTACAATGTGCCGGCCGTCACGGGGAGCACCACCCGAGCTGCTGGCGGTGTGCACCGCATACGCGTGACTGGAAGGCAAATCCTCTTTAATCAATGCAATAATACTTCCGGTCTCTCTTCTCTTCTCCAAGCTGCTGAAAATTCGGGATGGGTAGAGGAACTAGCAGCGCCCCGCGAACAGGATCCTCTCGGCAGCGGCTACAGTGAGGAGCGAAGGGACCCCCCGGGGGCCCCTCCCCCGGAGGGTGGGGCCCTTGTTGAGCAGGGCCTCAAAAGGAAGGCATAAAGGCTTCAGATGCGCGTTAGAATGCTGCGGCGCGCCTTCCAACAAAGGTGTTCCTCCATTTTGTTATTTATTGAATTCAAAGAAGAGCGTTTTCAAGAGAGTTGTCTCAAGTCGCACGACCAACACACAACGGCCGCTGTTTATCGGGAGGCCCTGGTGGCATGAGAATAGAGCTTTTTGGTTGCCTCAGGCACCCCACAGCAGCTTGAATTGGCAATATGAGAAGCGATATGGACAGCCGTCACGTTTAGGACTCCCCGGAGGGCACTTTCCCCAGGTGCTTTACAGCGCGATTCGCGCGCTTGCGTCAAGCCTTTGAGCACTCGATCCCTTTCCCCCTTTTATGCAGCTTCTTTTCTCCCGGACTCACCTCTCGCGTTCCATAAGAGGCCTTTTTCGTTCGCGGCTGCCTCTCATACTAGCTCGCTTGGCGGGGAAGCTCGCGTGGAATGCCTTCTCCTACTCCATGGAACCCCCTAGGGTGCCTGTTGCGAAAGGGGCAGGCTTGTTGTGCTCCAGGGGGCTGCTTGCAAGTCTCTAAAGAATGCTTTCTTAGAGGCTCTCAGCGATGGATCGCGTCGCTCCCCAAGGCTCCCCCTGTGGGGAGACGGGAAATAAAGAAGCTGCTACTCGCAGGGAGCAGAAGCAAAACGCCGCTGCTGTTGCTTCCCCCCCAAGTCCCCTTACACGTAGGGCGGTGCACGTGGGTTGGTGCTTTTTAGAGTCTTGTTTTTGGCGGTTCTCGTGTGTTTTCGATGCGAGGGCTAGCAAAGGTGCTGCTTTCGGGCCTTGTTCAAGCCTCCTGCCCGAAATTCCTCGATGCTGTCACTGTAGCTGTTTTATTGGGTGCTTATGCTCGATGGACAGTTGGCAATTGAAGCCGTACTTCCGCAGTCTCCATTGTTGGTGTGCAGGCTGGCGGTCCTCCTTCAGCTCTTTTCATGTCTCAGATCCTCTCGCGTTTCTCTTCTATGCCGCTGCTGTGGGCTGCAGGAGCTACGCGTCTTTTTTCGGCTACCATACAGCTCCGTCCAGCTCCTCTGCCGAGTTTCTCGCTGCCCTGCAACGAAAGTCTTGAGGTGGCAAGACACTCGGGGCCTTGCATTTGAAGCATCCAATAAAAAAAAGGTCATGGTTGACTTCTACAGGGCGGCTCATGCAGCAAGGAGATTCGGCCTGAGGGCCGTCAGAGTCGATCCTGAACCTGAGTGGCAACAAGAACACCAAGCACAGCAGGCAGCGGTGCCTGTTGTAGCCCTTCTTGGGCATATCAATCATGGAAAGACGACGCTGCTCGACAGGCTGTCTGCCACCAGGATCGCTCCTTTTGAGGCGGGGGGCATCACGCAGCAGCTTCTTGGCGTTACTGTCAGATACTCGCCAAACAGCAGCAGCAGCAGCGGCAGAGACAGCGCTAATAGCGGACGAAGTGGTAGCGGTGGCATTAGCGCGGCTGCGGAGAAAGAAGACGGGCGCTTGATTTCGTTTATAGATACTCCTGGCCATGCGGCAATGAGCAGCATGAGGGCACGAGCAGCAGCCGCGGCAGACGTGGCTCTGGTGGTCATAGAAGCGGACAGAGGGAAGCAACAGCAAACTGCTGAAGCCATTCGGCAGGCAGATGCATGCAAGCTTCCCGTTGTCTTTGCGCTGAACAAAATCGACACGCTGCTGCTGGCCAAACCGTGCACCGACAGCAGCGCCAGCGATATCAGGGAGGCTCTGCTGCGGCTGCAGGCAGCAGAGGGCCGTCTAGAAGCGGAGACTGACCCCGCTGCTTTGGCTCCTTCCGCTTTCTCAGCAGCGGTCGAAGCCGAGAGGTCACCAGAGGACTTCGCTCTGCAGCAGTTGCTACTAATCCGCATGCAGCTGCGGCGGGAATGTCAGCGCATGGTCGAGAATGGCGAGATAGAAAGAGACCTCAGTGAAGAAGCCATGCGGGCCGTGCCCATTTCTGCGCTCTACGGCCACGGAATAGAGGTACGCCAACTTGCGGATCTAGCGGAGGGTTCATCTTTTCTCCGTTTCACTGAGCCGTTTTTATTATCGTGCGCTGTGTGTCTCCAACTCCGGCTGCCCGTATATGCATGCATCCTTCTGCTCCTCTAGCGCTTTCTGCCGGGTAGGCTTTTGCGCTCTTAGCCCGTCCGTCTGTCGCGTTTTGTGGTTGGGATTCCTGCTGCTTTTACGCTAATTGAGTCCGTGGTCACTCTGGCACCGCCTTCTGTCCTGCAACGAAGGATGTGGCACGTGCGGCCTTCCCCAGTACACTGGCTATGCCCGGAATTATATGCAGGATCTCATCCGCCGCGTGTTGAAAGTCGCGGAGCCTTTGAAGCTGCCTCTCAGAATTCCCGCGTCGCTCTGCACCACTCCGGGTTCTGCTACCAGGTGCGCAGGATGCCTCAGTTCATTCCTGGTCAGCAGCTTTGTGGTCAAGAGGGCTGCGAGGGGAACACGCTAGCCTTACACAGGGCTGTTGTGCCTTGGATCTTCCTCTTCTTCAAGCACATCGGCAGCAGGGGTCGCAGTAGCTGCGCCTGGTGTGGCAGCACCAGCAGCCACTGCTTTTAAGGCTTCCATTCTGACGGCCTTGGTGTTGTTACGCGTCTTGCTGCAGATACCAGCTTGTGACACGGCGATCTGATGCTCTGGTGGAAGCGCACTTGCCGCCTTCGGGTGTAGGGACCATCTTGGATATACAGCAGTCGAAGGATAGGGGCCTGGTTTACACGGTGCTCCTGAAGGTTGGCGCCCTCCTACCAGGTATAATTTGGGGAGAGAGTACACTTACCTTAGTTCGGTTTTCTTCGCCTGCATGCTCCAGTAGCAGCCCCAGCAGACGCCACAAATAAGAGGGACACACCTTCAGGAAGATCACGCAGTCGAAGCCACGCATGCGACCAGCATTCTGATGCTGGCTAAGCACTGGGGTGCACCCAGAGTGGTGTTGTTGTTGCTGATGTTTGCGTTGCCATAGGGAACTACTTCGTGGCTGGCAGCGTGTACGGTCGAATCTCGTCTGTGTGGCGCTACAGTTGCACTTTCAAGGGAGCGCCGTACACACCCGAGGCACTAAAGGAGGACCAAGGGGTCCCTGGAGTTCCCTTTCCGGTGGGGAGTGTGTTGCAGGTGGCGACGCAAAGAGAGAAGGGGGGTGAAGCTGCCATAGATGATCTCATACTCTGCCTCCCCCAGACCCGCGCGTACCGGCTGGCTGTCCACAGAAAGCGACTCGAGGAGCTCCAGCGGCAGCAGATCGATGGGCCACTGCTGGAGCTGCCTTGGGAGGTGGACCATCCAAAGGAAGCTGGTAGCAGGTGGCAGCAGCTGCAGCAGCGGCAGATACGAAGGCCAGTGTCTGAGGGGAGGAGGGCTATTGAGGAGTTTGGATTCGTAGACGACGACCCCAGTAGCAGCAAGGAGCCTCTCTTTACAGACGCAACCAGGGAAGAGTTTACGAGGCCCCTTCGAAGCGTTCCTTTTAAGGAAAGGTGCGCTGAAAACTCAGAACAAGGGGCCCACGCCTCTGAGGCGGCACTCGGTAGGAGTTGTGGCCATAGGAAAGAAGAGCTCTTGGATGAAATGGAACTCTTAGGGAGGAGCGCAAAGGCACAGCAGCAGCAGCTCAAATCCCGCTGTACAGTGAACCTCGACCCCATTATCGTTACTCCAGAGGAAGATGGCTATGATGAAGAGGAGGAAGAGCCAACCTCTTCGCAAGAGGACTTGCAAAACGAGTCGATAAACGAGGGCGAAGTCGAGAGAGGAGGAAACTCTGCAGACGCAGTGCAGCGTCCTCTGGGTCGGTCATCACGTCGGCGCCAGGCTCTCCGATTGCAATCTCAGGACAGTCTTAGCCCTGGGGAAGCCGCAGATAATCCCGGAGCAGGCGAAGGGCTGGCAGTCGAGTCGCACCCCTTACATCCGAATGAGTCAAGGGATGAGTGGGCTGAACGCGTTGTCAAGGAGAACGAACAGCTCATGGGGAGGTGGCGAGCCAAGTCGAGGCAGCGGGTAAGATCGAGTGCGGGAGGGAAGCGAAAGGGGCGCAAAGAGCGGCCCTTGTGAGACGCGGAAAGAAAAGGATAAAAGATTGGCGAGCTGAGATGGCTGCCAGTTAAACCATATAGCGGGCTAAAGGCCCCCGAAAAACCAAGACACAGAAGGGAGAAAGCACATAGACTTCGGCAAAAGAATTTGTCGTCGACCAATACGCTTCCCTGTGTGCTGCAGAAAGAGGCGTATGCTGAGCAGCAACGTCTGATGCGAGCTGCAGCTGTAGAGGCAGAGCAGCAACGACGAGCTGCGTTGCAAGAGGCGCCTCTTACGCCGGAAGAGATGCGGCGCCTCATTGAAGGGACGGAAGGGGATGAGAACGAGGAGGGATCGTATAAAGAAAAGAGTGAACAGAAGGTACGGCTTTTTACTTGCCACAGACTGCCGCCACGGTATGAGGCTGCGGCCATTGGTGAGCACTCACTCGTTCCTAGTGCTAGAGCCACCCGAATGCAATTTGGGAAAGAGAGGGAGGAGAGCGATAGAGAGAGAGTGAAGCTAGAGAGAGTGCAGCAGTAGCTAATAGAAGCTACGGTGTTTGTATGCCCGCTGTATGCTCAAACAGACTTTTCCGGCCCCCCCTAAGGACGCACCGGTGGTGCCAGTCATTCTGCGAACTCGTTATGTTGGCAGTTTTGATATGCTGCTGGACGAGCTAGAAAAGATAGAGGTAGGCTCTTTGGTGGCCCTTTTCATAGGTTTATATTACCTCGCTTTCCCTGAGCCCCTCCTGAATCTTTCAGCGGAGCAAGAGCTACTCAGGTATTTTGCTTGAGCAAACGCGTCCGCGACGGCAAGGACGTGACATCTATACCGGCATCTTCCTGCATGCGTTTTTGCTACTTCTGCCCCGCAGACAGAGATGGGGATGCGGATCCCTGTCGTCCACGGAGGCATAGGGCCCATAGCGCCTCGGGATATCGTTCATGCCGAGGTGGAGAGGACGTATGGCTATTGCCCGGTCTATGCTTTCCAGGTGTCAGTACTCCCTGACGCAATCAAGCAGGCGGTCATTAGTAAAGTGATTATCAAGAAGTTTGATGTTTTCACGGACCTCCTCCAGGATGTCCGAGAAAGATGTAACAATATACGAAAACTACAGTATCACAACCTCTATGTTCGCAGTCTCAAAAAGCACCCCACTATGTCGGGACTCTGATTGGGTGGCCTGGACCGGTGTAAGACTCCAAGGAAGGGGCTTTCATAAGCGGGCTCCTTAGTGTTTACTAGGAGCGCTGGGCGGGAATCGGAGGCATGGGCCAAACACCCCTGGCTTCTAGTGGGGCACGCACTGCTGCTCTTACAGTAGGGAGTCAAAATATTTAGTAGAAATGCCCAGGAATTTTTGAACAGGGTCCGCAGACCTGGCAGCGTCAGCTCTGTGGAAACCCGCCCGGTTTGCTCCTTGCTCCCAAGGAACTTTTTGTGGCTGTCCTACAGTGCTTTCAGCCTGGCACGGATGGCCTGATCCTTGAAGAGTTTTAATAAATGCATTGTTCCCTGAGACATTTAATCGCCGCCGCACGTCTACCTGCAATTGTGATGGCTGGCTTACAACAGAGTAAATTAGACGAGATACTGCTGTAGCCTTTAGTCCCCCGCGTTTACGTGTGACCCCCATGTTCTTCTTAAGCAAACCAAGACTAAATCTCTCCTTCCCTACAAAACGACGGCATACGCTTTAAAGTCTGCGAATCAACTTGTTTGAAAGCCAGGGTGGGGGGAGCGGGATGCCCAGCGTGAAATGAGGGTACTACCCTGACCATTCTATGGTCTCGCCTTTGTCTCCATTCCTCACATGTATCCTGCTTTCCACATGCCTGTATGTCTCTCCCTTGAATAGGTCATGTCCCCTCTCTGCACTATTCATGTGTCTGTAAACGAATCCATGGTCTATTTTTCCCTCGTTAGTTGCTATATTCCCCGCCATTTTTGCATCGGTATAGGGCCTACGCGCCGTTAGAGGGGACCGCGAGTCTGCGAGGCTTTTACGGGGGTTTCGAAGCATGCAGCACTCAAGATAATTCGTTATGCGCCCGAAGACGCCTTCATGTGCTTCATGACCAAGCCCGCGGAGACACGCGAATCTAAAGCGTTCTGTGGCAACTTCTGGATCATCGACAATGTCGTTTGTTACAGGCGAAGCTTCGTCGTAAGTGTTCAAAGCATAATCTACGTCCAAAACCTCATTCTCATCCCCGTGCAGATACAGTACTTGGCGCAGGCTATTGCGACAGAACATCTCTCCAAGAGAGAAATGATGGAGACAAGGGCACCAGCCGCTGACACAGATGATGCCCCCAATTGGCACACGTGTTGCTAAACCTACAAAGTAAGCCATGGCTTCACCCTGACAAAACCCGCCTACAATAGTACTCCCCGGACCCATGAGGCTTCCTCCTGAATGATCGCTTCCGTGCGTTCGAAGCTTCGCTCTAAACCCGCAACATCTTCGTCCGTATACAGACCGTTTGTGCTTGAACTGAACCCCGTACACGCTCAAGTATTGCTGCGAATTATTGAATTCCGATCTCCTGAAGGCAGAGAGAGCCGCGCTCGGTCGTGTATACACTCTGTTTCGTCGATGAGATCCACCAAGATGTTCCACCTGTCCCCCGAGCCCCCAACATCATGAAAAAGACCAGGCTCATTTTGGCATCGCGGGTGAAGTAATGCCTTTCCTCATCCCCGCGCGCATCTCCAGGAAGCAATAAATACTCATAACGCAGCAGGCTTGCATGCTCCACGTCCTCAGACACGGTCCGCTGCACAGACTGATCTCTCTCTGCGGACTGAACCTCCTCATCAAGCTCAGCCTGAGCCTCAAGCTCCACTTATACCTCAGAAGTACACTACAGGACGCAAATACGTGCAAAAGCACCAGGCTTCTGAAGACTGGGAGGGACGAGTAGTGAGCATGAGGAAAACAGTAATTATTTTCATGTGAACACAAAAATGCAAACACACCTATACGCACACAGCCATACACACCCCAAGGTATGTAACTTCTATTGACAAGCTCGTGGGCATAAATGAATGTTGGTTGCGAAGGAAGGGGACGACAAATGCAACAAACCAACAACAGCCACTCACGCACGCAGCCTATCACACTCGGGTAGGCATTATACTGAACAGTGGCTTAGTCTCGCTGTAGTTTGGCAATGGCCAGCGTGTACTCGTGCGTTGGCATGCACCTTCAAGAGTAATTCGTTTTTCCTTAAAACCTAACCAGGTCGCTTCAAGACAAACAGGGACGAATATGCTTTTTGTCCTGGTATGATTGACTTGATATGGAGAGAAATGGAGGGAAGTGAACAATGCAATGTATAAACACAGTTGTTGACTTTTTTGTGGGCGTCCTCAACAGCGGTAAGCTAGCCGGAAGGCAGTCTCCGTGCACTTCTGGCACCCGCCTAGCCCTAGCTGGAGAGCACAAAAACCTTTTTTGTAATCACTATAAAAACGGGCAGACTTCTCCTTTAGAAGCGTGGATCTATGAGACTTGATTTTTGATGGCAAATTGGAGACAGACCAGTGGATAACTCAAATCGAGTCCAGGCTGCAACTTACCGTGACTTTCACCAGCAGTGTGACCCCATGCTATTACAATTAAAACAGTAAATTAGAAACCTGAGGCCCTATCAACCCACTATCAGCGGTGTCGATTAGCTGTATTTCGGACTAATAGGAGCAGCATGGCTTTTCTTAACAAGCTCCATACTCGGATTTTAGCCGAGACATTTGACTTCCTTTGAGGAAACAGGTCTCTTGCCCCGCAAAATCAGGTACACAGAATTGATCGATTCATAGATGGTGCTTATCGCCTTGCCACGAAACATATTCATTGCCCTTCCAAAGAAAACTTCTCAAACTTGCTCATACACAACCTCATGGTTCCTGTCTCTGATCACAATGTAAACAATCCAGCGGTCTCCCTACGAAAACACTCCACTCCAGAACCAACAGAGCCTTATTAGCAAGTAAATGAGTGTTTTCGGCAAAAGACGTAGCTCCTTTCCCTGCCCTCGCTCCTCAGTGTATGTGGTTGAGGGACAGTTAGAATGCGAGCGGCTGCACCGTGAAAGTACTCCGAGCATTCAAAACTAGCTGCTCAGAGCCTTTACCGCCCACGCAAACAATAAGGCGTCTTCTTGTATGGAACTAACAGTACGTTGCAATGAATCACTGTAGTCGAACAGAGAGACAATAAAGTCAATCCTTGTGATTATTGTGAAATACACCTAGTGCGAAAGTGTCTGAGAGCGGAGTAGCCCACTGATATAAAAAGCACTGTCTGAGAATTTCTATGCTCTTAAAGCACAGAGGGCACACATTCGCTAAACTGTCGCATGAGGAAGATATCGTGTGCTATCCCAGAGCTTTCGCATGAATAACAACAATCCTGTCTATTCCCGCCCTCTTTCTGGGTTATCGACCTCTTCTACATTTTGCAGAATTCACCGCGTCCCCTCAACGAAATGGCCACCGTATAGTGGCCAGCCATAGAGGTTTACGCACACTGACCCACTACTTTGTCTGAATTCGTGATTTGACTAGGTAAGAGAATGACTAACTTGCAAATATTCGCCTCTATAATTATTATCTACACTACCTTTCCCTTACTTACTAAAAGAAGGGTAAGCTGCGTCATTTAGTTTGTGCTTTTCCGTTTCGTCTTTTCCTGGTCTACAAATGAGTGACCTGGAGAAAAGCTCAATATCCTTGCCAAAGGCAGGAATCGAACAACACCCTTTTGGGATAATGCGACAAAAACAGAGTAGTCATATCCGAGTGTAGGCGGACAACGCACATGCACCGCCCCCTAGTTCAAGCAATACACTTAGAACGCTATGGTGGATGTGTGACACTTTGGACACAAATCATCACGTCGCTTACTGCCAAACTGCCTCCCCACAAATCTGCCACTAGCTCTACTGCTGGACGTGGTAGTTTGCCAGTGGCACTGTGCAAGTAGGTACACAGATAAGCCTGCACCGGCAGCTCTGGGGCCCCCATACCACACGGGAGAACCACGTATTTCGGGACAGGGAGGCACAGCCCACTAAATTTCGCCGTGAAAGTTCTATGAAGCATCGGACCACGGCGCAGCAAGAGATGCTATTATGGGCCCCTGAACACAAATGCACCTTAGTGCTGCATTTCTTGGCAGTGGTTTTCAATACGTGACAGGAAGACGGCCTCTTGGCCTCGTACAAATTGAGTAGACATACGGATTGTTATCTGCCAAATGACGCCTACAAGCCATTAATCTTTCCTTTATTCCGAATAAACTCACCCCAAGGGCCAACGTAGTTGTAAGCTAGTTGTCATAACGCCGATAGAGAAGGGCCCGTGCCCGCGCGAGTGGAGACGTGCTCTCGCTCGATTTCCTCTGACGGCCTCTCATCATCCGCATGAATTCATCAAAGTCAATCATTCCGTCGTTGTTCAGATCACCCTAAAAACAGACAAAAAAGCCAAAGCGTAGTATGTACACAATACAGGCAGCAGCATGATAAAATTTGAAGAAAGACGTGTCCAAACGCATCTCAATGCTTCCCGCATAAAAAATACACAACAAATCCCCGGATGAAATGTGCCAGCAAAACCACAAGTCAAAAAGCGCAATAACTCCACGGGTTTCCGTACAAACCAACGTACAAAGAAAGATGAGAACAGCATTTGCAACACCAGCTGAGCAAGTGTTGCAGTTGCCCGCACAAACCACGCAGTCCGTCAACATTTGCAGCAGTCACAGAACAGACTAAAGCAATAGTAAATCTGTTACGTACCTCTTTAATCATTTCCAGGACGGTGTCCTTGCTGAATGCCTCCCTAATGTAATTTGTCTCGAGCACTTTATGCAACTCATCTCTGCGAGATAAACAATGTGTCAGGCCACCTCAAATTCTCCCTGAATATCCTCATACCTCCATTTATGAGAAGGGGGACCTAGGAAACTACTGCAAATAGTACAAACCAGCTGTTCGGGAACGACCAAGCGACACTAAGTATTGCAGTACACGCGGCCTACACTGATATCTTTCCATCTCCATCCAAGTCGAACACGCGGAATGCGTTTTGGCAGGCTGATTCCTGTTCGTAGATCTTATGGTCCATTGAGGCAGCAATGAACTCCGTGTAGTCAATTGTGCCATTTCCATCAGTGTCCAGTTCCTTAAGCACCTCGAGTACATCATCTCCCTGGACTCCACACTGTTCCAGGCCCTGTTGAATCTCACTAACTGTTAGCACCCCGTCCGCATTCTTATCTAGTGCCGCGAATGCATCGTGCAGCATCCCAATCTCGCTGTCTGAAAGTTGATACGCCACACATGTTATGGCTAGCCGCTTCAATTTATGGAGCCGCTGGAAGCTCTTGAAACGCTCTATCAAGTCAGACCCAAGGCGGACAGAAAGCGCCTGCTCCACCCCACCGTGCCCTGCCGTGTATGCCTGAATCCATGGATGCTGCAAGGCCTCCTGTGCGGTGATGCGCTTTGAAGGCACGTAAGTCAGACAACGCCGCACCAAATCCTTCGCTGGCTCAGAAACGCGCTTCCAGTGACGAGGGTCAAACGTGAATTCGCCGACCTGCACCTTTTTCAAGATCGCCTGGTTGTCTTTGCCGTCTGCGCCGAAATTTTGCCAACAAAGCACAAATCAGCTGGATAAAACCCGCTACTACTAGGCACCAAAAACAGTTATGAGACAGTGAAAGAGGCTCACGCGCTGCGCTACCAGTTAAATTACCGGCTGGCCAGTGAGAGCCCAGATACAGACAACACATTATTGTCCAGTCCCTATGAGCTACTCAAATATCCAAGCTCACGAAAAGGGGGGTAGCCGCAAAGAAGGATGAAGAGAATTACGCCTGTGCTCCATATGTCGCATTCGCTTCCGTATTTGCCGAAGAGAACCTCAGGTGCGACGTAATATGGCGTTCCCACAACACTGCTGAACTTGTGGCTCCGGCCACACCGAGCTGCAAAGCCCCAGTCTGAAAGAGCCATGGCACACCAAACATCAGCTCAGCCTAGATTCCCTATCCCCAGAAATATATAGGCAAGGATAAGAGAAAACGAAGCAGTTCTACCAGAGCTGCTACAACACAACTCCAAGAGAGAACACGACAGTATACGGTGTTGTCACGGTGCTTACCGATAACCTTGAGGGCGGAAAGTGGGGAGCTGTCGGCGTATAGAAGGTTTTCAGGCTTGAGGTCTCTGTGCATAACGTTGTTCGCGTGACAGTATGCCGCGGCAGAGAAAACCTGGCGCATAAGACATGCGGCGTAACGCTCAGAGAAATGACCAGACTTGATGATCCTCTCAAATAGTTCACCTCCCGTGCACAGCTCCATAACGAGGTATAGGTTCTTTTCATCCTCATAAACCTCGAAAAGCTTTATGATATTTGGATGGTCAAGACGCTTCCTGAGGCGCAAGAGAGAGACCGGATCCTCTAAGATGATGGCTTCTAGTGTTTAGGCAAGCATAGTGGTTTTTGTAATTGTGATGATATTCTAAGCCTAGATTATCCCAATAACACGCCGTTCTACCAAAGAAGGATGAGGACAAACGCTCGAAACACGGTAAGTTTGCTTTTTGAAGTTTTCCCTTCAAGGCCTGGGAGGCTTCCGTCTGCGCTTCAAGCTCCCTCTCGTGGAAGGATTCCCAGAATAATCTTTGCAAGCCTTACATAATAAGAATTTCGCGCTTTAGGCGCGTGACATTCTCGATTCGGGGTTTATACACGACCTTAATGGCACGAGTTGTCCCTGTCTTCATGTCCCTGGCTTTCATGACCTGCCCGTAAGAGCCCTTGCCCAAATTTTGACCGTGCGAGAAATCGAAAATGTCGTTGATAGTAACAGATCCTGAACATAGAGACCGTAGTTCCACCTCAGACGCCAGTAACCACCGGCACTCGCACCAAGAATAACACCACCAAAGCAAACCCGTATCAGCATTCGGATACACAAAGAAGCACAGAACTGCAGAGTGAGCTGTAACTTTGGCAGATTCATATGGGCTGCTCGTGATACAAACGTGCACAAAAATGCGATTCTCCTAACATACACGCAAAACCTGGCTCATCTTCGACTTTTGTGTGACCAAATCAAGAAAACAAGTGCAGCATGACCCATTTCAGGCATTTACTTGAACACCTCCTACGTGTAAATTCACTTCCTTGAACCAGTTGCTCATTCTCAATCTCACCATCTAGCTGCACTTCTTGCACAAACCGCGAACGATCAAACACGGGTCCTGAGCATGCGGGCTCTTTTCCCTGAGGCGCCCCTCCGCACAGCTCATCCACTTCCCATCGCGATGCTGCACTTGCATTCAAGTAGCTCTCGCTCCGCGTTATAAAGCCCCTCGCAGGTTCACGGGTCTGTTTGTCCTGCAGCGCCAGCATCACGACACGTCGAAAGCAGACTTCACAACTTGATATGCAAAGCAAGAAAAGACATAGAAAGCTACACCAAAGGCACGAAAAGCTACATGAATGCGACCGGACGCGCTCAAAGTGTACGACTCGCGGCTGTGTCAAACACATGGCTCCCTGCAATATTCGAAGCAAAACACAACTCCAGCATAGAAACAAATCTGCTGCCTCCTTTCTACCTTTCCTTCATTGGCACACTTCGTGCAGAGGGAGAAAAAGTGAGGTTTTGCATCAAGTCCAACATGATCATGGTGCTGGTGGTGGTGGTTGGCACTACAATCGGGTCCACAGCTTTCAGGCGACCGGGTGTCGCGCGCCGCTACCCCGTCATCTTGGCGCTTTTCCGTTTTCATGGCTGCAGCCGGTTTGACCACCACTGGATCCTGCTGTCCCCTGCAAGGGCCACCTGCCTGTGTGCTGATGGCCTGAGTCTCTGTGGCCTGGGGTGAGGAAACGCAGGAAACTCCTGTAGCTGAGGGTGCAGCTGACGAGGAGTCGGGCTGCACAGGCTTCCCTGTAACCGATGGGACGTGGTGGCGGGCGAGATTCAGGAGCCGGTTCTTCATAATACTGCTCTGGTGTTCTACGTGTACAAAAACAGAGGGCCTTGGCGCCGTGGACAGCAAAATAGAACCGGTTGGTCGGTGTGGTTTGAATGCCTAGCAAGCCAAGCGATCAGCCGTTAGGGGAGCCCACGGTGGAAAAAACACCCACCACGTTCAATCGGTGACAAAAGCAGCTGCTCCACGCTCCGAATCCCTAAGGGGGCGCGCGATAAAGCAAGACGGAAAGTACAAGTTCTGGACCAGTGGGTCGAACCGCTTTGAAGGAGAGCGGCAGCGCGAGAGGGGACCAGACAAGCACCCTGAGTGAAAATCAAGAACCCGAACAAGCTAATAATAGCCTATGCAAATGATCGGCTTGGAGAATATGGAGGGGCGAGATGTGTCGACGCTCCCCTACGGCTCTTCTCTGGCCACCGGGGAGCAATTGAAGTATTTCAGAATCGCAATGACTCCTCTGTGTCGCTCTAGTCCCCTGTGACCCTCAGGAAAGTGAAGAATCGCACGATATTATCAAGTTAGCTGCAGGAAACGGCCTCAAAACCCCTTGTCACATCCCCCCTCCCCCTAGCGCCCTCCTAACGCGTGACGGCTACTCCACTCCAAAACCGCTCCCCGTGCACCATATCAGGAGGCGCCCAGAGGAAAGGAGACCTCCCCGTATAGAGCAAGTGTTAAATTAACGGCCTGTGTGCAGTAGGTGCGGTAATTCGGCAAATACTGCCGCAGACTGCCAAACGTGATTATCTGAAGGGAGGCACAGCATTCAAGTAGCCTCAACGGCCGTCAACTAGGGAAGCAGGCTTTCATAGCCACGGCCCTGGAAATGTGTTTTAAAATAAGGGTCATGAGCAAGATACGCATGAAACGAACAAAGGAGAAAAAGGAATTGCACAGCAGAAGCAAGCTTAGGCACCAGTGATGACCAGTAGCGCCAGCTGCCCCCTCATCGACACGCTGCCAGTGGGGATATTTACCTAGTAGAGGGAAAGGACCCTCCTTGCCAGTCCCTATTCTCTTAGAATACACTCAATTGGAACTAGTGTCAATTTTTCGCCATAGAGGGCCGAACGATAATGGCAGCCGTGCACCTCTCGCCAGTCCTCAGCCCGCTATTGTAGGAAGGCGATTGTGCGGGAGTCTGTTAGAGGCGTTTCAGCCCATTTTGACGGTGACAATAAAACTGGAAGTATTCGTACGCTATTACATACAGAGTCTACTAGAGAATTGGAATGGCCTTGCCGAGCCTAATAGTCCGCACCGAAACTACAGAGATCAGACCGCGCGAGCACGCGCCGCCAGCCCATCAGTGAGGCGGGGCATCGCAGTGCTGCGCGCCAGAGCCTTTAGCACCCACCGGAGATCAAAAATCCCCCATACGCTGCAGCACAACCCCGTAACTTTGTGACGGAGCTCCGGCCCCAGGCGCCATACTTCCTTTCCCAGGCACACTGCTGAGCACAGTCAATCGCTCTCTCCAATATCCAATTCGCACCGGAGACAGAGTTAACTTTGTGTAAAAGACTGACGCATAGAAACATATATGATATTGCAGAGTGTGCGGTATGGCTAGAGGCTAACATGACACTACACTGCTATCTGCACCCCGATCAGTACATATCACCCTCCGGTGGCTGGGGGAGGCGGCGGTTCGCATGCGAGGCCATCTCTTGCCTAAGGGCAGTCAGTAACATGTCAATTGTATAGGAACGCTGCCATTGACGCAACATGGGAAAGCTGCTCTTCAGGACCTGCACACACACACCGCCATGTCAGTACACTACAGGCAATACTACGGTGCTTTTCAAGCTCCGTCATGCAACTGAACAGACCTGCACTGCTTTTGAGCTGCAAGCGTGTATTCCAAACCAACAGCCCAAAGGACTACAGCATGAACAAAACAGGCTAAGGGAGGCCATCAGGAATGGTCTTACCACCCCATTAGGGTCAACTGCGTGCATGTTGATGCGCGTGCGAAACCGAACTTCTGGAGGGGCATGCGGGTACTGGGGTCCACAATTAATGGCCACAGAGTAGATACGGTTCTCGAAGGCCGTCTGTACACAGGCAGCGCAGCAGCCATATCCGGCGATTGCATCCATCTAGCCTACCAAATCCTGTATGGCTTCCTGTCAATGTTCCTTTAACACACAAGTATCTGGACAGCAATGCAAAAGGTCATCTCGTCCGTACAGAGCTTTACGCCATTCAGTCGAACGTATGTACGAGAGCGGAACACTCACTCCTGGTGGTCCGAAGATGGTGCCGGACCAGTTGGTCAGGGTGATATCATCCGCCTCCTCCAGTCCAAAAGATACTCCCTCCGCTACTTGCCCCTTCTGCCCCTTCTCCAACTCATCTAGAAGCCGGAATGAGCGGGGAACCACAACGGCCTGCGAGTGAACATCCATACGCACGGTTCCCTCCATTTGGCGCATTTAGACAAGCATGTCATGCAGGGGGGCAGAATGCAAAGGCATCCAGGGATGTACGACGACGGCAGGAACCGCCAAAGTGTGGTAGAATGCTTCCATATTCACATTTCCATGACGTGCTACACAGTGCCTACCCCATAGCTAACGAGATCAGATGACTCCGGTGGGGAGTGCAGGCAGGAGTGGCACGGCTACGTGATGCTGGAAGGTTCACCTCTGTCATTCTCGTGGATGATTGTCGGGAGTTCGGGTGTTCGAGAAGCGGCAAAGTATCTTGATACTAAGGCCCTTGAGGCTGTACTCATGCAGCTTAGGGCCAAGGGATCATGAATAAGCAGTCCAAAGAAGAAACAGTCGGACCAATAAGGCTGCATAAGGTCCCATTGGCCTCTTCAAAGTGTTTCTGTTGCTCTTAATTCGGAACGAAGCCAAAGTGCCTCCGCATGCAGTGCGGCTGCCGCTGTGGACGAGTGACAACAGGGGTAGTCGCCAATCGGCTGAGCGTAGCGGACTGCGCCGTGATGCATCATTTAAAAAGACTGCTAGCAATCCTTCTTCAAAACAGTTTTAACAGCTGCACCTGCTCATTTAGCTCCGGTACATGGGGTCGCTGTCTTAAATGAAAGCAGTTGCGCTGAAACTGCCAGCCTGCCAAACGTACCCCTACATGGACAGAACCCTGGGTGGCTAGCGATAAAATTATTAGCAATACCTTCTATTTATTCTATGTAATCTATGCCAGAAAAATTCGTATAGCTTTTTTTCCACGCACACGGACAGTCTGAGCTACATGGAAATGGATGAGCAGTTCAAAGCGACACATGCTGCACTTAGGCCTCACCAACCGCCTAGATGGGAAGTCATGCTTCATTTATGGGTGGGTAGCCGGCACCCTCGAAGGGTCCTCAGATTATACGTAGGCCGAAATTTTACGGCATGCAACGCCTACTCCTATTGTTGGTCTGTCTGTCCCTCAGCGGTGGCCGTTTTGCCCAATAGGAAAAAACTGACACACGAAAATGAGAACCTCTTTCCTTCGTGGGATTTTCTGGTTTTGGTATGTTGTCTTCTTCCAGCGGAATTCGGACGACGCTGTATTGCTGTAGCGCGTTCTCTAGCGACTCCGTTAATAAAAAAATTACTAGGCGGTCCCCCCAAAATACCCACTACCCGCTATCCTTGTCAAAGATCCCACAGGATTACGGTATGTCGAGGGAGGGCCAGCTAGGGTGCGTGCGGCAGCTCTGGAAACGCGGAGCAGTCGGAAACCCTCGGACAGGGTGTTCATTCCTTGTGCATTGACTCAACTCGTATGTAAAAAATAGCATGAAGGCGGAGCCAAGACAAGCAGTCAGTTTTTAACGTAATTCGATCTCAAATATGACTGGTGCAAGGGAAGCTGCCTGAGTAAAGCATCCCTGCTACAATGTTGCGATGCCTTGTTCCACTTCCCTTCATTTTGCAGTATCCGGCTTTCGTGCTCTCTGATCTTGGGGCTTTACGCAAAGAGTGTGATCGGATACTAAAGCTCCGCTGCCCCAATGTTGAACTCATGGGAAATAGCTCTAGTAAAGTCGAAGCTTAGCCCTTCACGGTCGTGCTAGTAAGAGTTTCACTGTGGCTGAAGTGGGAACATGAAGATTCTTGACTCCAAGCTCTGTCCATGGTGTTGCACTTCATCTTGGGCTTCTGTGAGGAGGCGCTTGATTGTATATCTAGTACAAGTTTAATACAAGGTTACTGTGTGCTGCTTTGTAAACTCCCCCCTTTCCCTGCCCACGGCACTCAGGTTTTCGCATGCATGGAAGGTGGGCTATAGGATGCACGCAGCTGCAGTCTTTGAGCGCTCCAAGCATTCACAGCCAACTGCGAATAGCATCTAATGCGTACACACATAGAGTCATGTCTTTTAGTTTCGAGCTACCAGTAAAATGCAATAAATACGATATATACCAAAAAACACACAAAACAGTCAATTGTTTGCTAACTGTCGATTGAATATATCTGGATTCGTGAAAGGGGTCAGGTGTAGCTTAATGGGCTGCACTATAAAACTCCTTCTCCTCCTTACAAGCCGAGTGATATCAATCTGGGACTACGCATCTAGCTTTCATTCGCATAACGGACAGCGTCAGGCATCTGAACTCAGAGATGGGATCGTATGGCCTACTCAGTTTTCAATGGCAGCACTAGGCAGCTTCATTGGGTGAAACAAAGGCCCAAAGGGAATAATTAGGAGAAGAGTAAAGAACGCTATATGTGTACTGATGGGTCTATTCACTTTCGATGACGTAGTTCTTCTTTATGATGAAGTGCTTCTGCATAAAAGGTCGACGGTCATGGCTTTTGGGCAGTGCACTGCAATTCTACTAGCCTCGCACAGCCAAAAGTAAGCAACCAACCCACAAGATAACAAGCGACGAGTCAAAGAGCTTCAATTCAGCAGAATCCGTAAGACCGAGGGAGAGCTCGGTGAGCTTAAAACCGCTCCACTGCCATTTGGTATGCTTGAGCTCCATGGATGCTAGAAAAGCCCTTTGGACACCGTGAAGGAGGAAGGAGACATCACCGTTGGCAAACGCGTAAGTCTATGCATTGTAAGAAGCTCCGCCAAATATTTTGTAACTCAACATATTGGGCCTCCTTCTGCCGAGACGAATCACGTGAGTAGCTGTTCAGTTCAACTCTCCAGTAGAGAAGCTATGTACCCAAACTCTGTAAGTAGGCCTGTTCATTCGGCAAAAGGGACATGAGTATGGAGAGCGTACAGCAATACAAAGTACATCAGGATTCCACAAACTTTCTGCTGATTTGAAGATAAACTCTGTGAAACATCGTGAATTCCCCCCCTTGTATCCATGCAATGCACTTAAGTTTGTTAAAGGCTTGCAAGGATGTCAATGTCTAAAAACCATGTTAGCGATGAACACTAACTAATACCTTTTTCGGTTGGGTCTTGGGACACAAAGGATACCTAAAGCCATCTGACGTGTGCCATGAATTAAATATCCTTTGTTTACTTCCTAAACCTTGCACTCAACCCCAAGAAGTAAACTCTTTCCTAGCTCTTACACAAGCTTTCAGCGAGCAACCAGCATCTGCGGACTGGCACTTATTTAGAAGCTGGTATACACACAGGCTCTATCAATGGCAATAAGAGCTGGGCAGAGACTTGCGACGATTGCCCCATGTACGCAAGTTGGGCGGACAAGTATTGCTGTGACGGCCAAATTAGACGGCCGTAAGTGATGGATACGAATGGTGTGATGCAGCCGCTTCGCTCATCTTTCATGGAGCAGCACGGCAAATTGTTGAAGAGAAACTGCAGGGAATGGTTCGCCGTCTTTGCATAGAAACCGTGCCTAAAAGACCGAGTCTACAGTGCATAAATGACGCAGAGTGCCCTCTGGGATTCCTCTCTTCCGTTGGCTTCTTGGTAATCGCCGCTTACCAAATTGCGTAATCCTATGAGCCCACACTCTCGTACGGTCCTGTCATATTTTTGAGACGAACTGCTCTACTCGTAACCCCTTTTCCTATTAATGTTTAGTAATTAAGCGGTTCCTTCTATGTTTCTGATGCTCTTTGACTCGAGTGCCATCTGTGCGTGCTTCCTCCAATTTTTGCCGCGCACTAAAGCATCTTCGAGGCTCGTCGTTTGCAAGGGCAAACTGAGTGATTCAGCAGGTTTCTAACCACCAACTGATACATTAACTTACTTTGAAGATGGCACTCCATGGCTTGACGTTGATTGCAACATTGAATGCCCGCACCGTTGTCTCCAACAGTCAAACATCGTACTGCTGGTGCTGCAGGCAAACCTATGCAGCAACAGCTCGATTTCGCTTTGAATAGCTAATGGTGTGCTGAAGGTGTATAAAACAAATAAAATACACTGTCTAAAACCCAATTACAATGGACACTTTGGAGTGTGCATCCCCGCATGGGGAAAACCCTATGTGGGAGACTCGTAGTGCTTTGGTGGCTTTCCCTCCCCATTTTGTGTATGTTTTCACGCAATTATATGTGTCTTCTGCACGATATTCCACCCTGTTCCAATTTCAGAGTGCTCTAGATCGAAATATAAAAGACCAGGGGACGAACGCGCACTGTTGATTTCGTAAGACACTCCATGGTCACCAGATGTCCGTGGATCCTCCCTGCACTTTTGAAACGGCATATTTTGCCAAAGACATCAAAAAACTTTACCATAGCTAGTAGTTTAAGTCTGTATAGAAAGCTGGGATGGCCTTAGGAGGGGCACTTGCCCCCCATCTCGTCGCTGCCCATCGGTCTCCGCCCTGTTTGTTGAGGGAAATAACATGTAGACTACAAACATACTGGCTCAATAAAGCATGTTTTAGGTTTTTTGCCTTCGGTTTTTCGTAAGGAGCAGCTTGGGATCTAGTGGGGAAGCAGTCAGCTTTTTAATTTCCTGGTGCTCTTTTATTGGCGTCTTGAATTCAAACCAGCATACGGATCCTGCTGAGAGCATGAACGCTGGAAAACCTCTGGACTGCCACTTCCTGGACTTTTCGCAAATTCTTTGGAGCCATGGTGTCCCAGTGCCCACTGAAGTTCGTTCCCTCCATTGAAAGCGACGCGAATGCTGTGTCTCGGGGTAACGTAAATAGGAGAAATGCACAACACTCTGCTGCTTGCAAGCAGATGAGAAGGAGGCATACGGCTTGGGAATCTGCCAGGTATGACGCATATATGCAGCGTTTGGCGACAGAATCGGACTTCCATCTCAAGGTCGCTGCTTCAGTATCTCTCAACCCCATGGCGCTCACCAGGGCAGAGAAACGGGCATACAGCTCCGTAGTGCTTCTTCCTAGCTGTTCCGCGGCTGGAATCCGAAGAGAAGATTCCATGCAGACCACTGTCGAGAACACTCAGTGTAGGAGACACCCATCTTCCTGTAGCACTCCCTGCGGAAGTTGCCGTGCGTCATCTCGGTCCGAGGGGAGTATCGCGGCAAGCCTTCATTATTATGGCAGCAC